GATGGACATGTCATCAGTCTCCAAAAAATTCCTAGAGATGCAGAGAAGAAAATATGGCTGCAGCAGGCTAGATTAATTCGTAAAAACTTTGTAACTAAAAATTCTTATATTTGTTCTGCACATTCTGTAAATAATGATGATCCGTCTGCAGAACATCCACTACCAAAAATTAGCTTTTGTTTTTTTTATATATATAAAAAAGGCCTATTCGAATATATATCAGCATTTTATCAGTAATTTGTTTCGTTTTTTTTTTTTGGTTAGAGGGGGGGGGCTCATACAGCGCCTTATTATACTACTATACAGACTAATACAAATCCAGAAAGAGACTATGAGTGGGCAATTAAAAAAAATACGAATCAGTCTAAGATTTATTTTTATTCACAAACACAATAACATTTTTCCATATGACAGAGGCATTACACTATAAACATGTTTACATCAAGAACGTCCGCGGAAGTGACTTTATTTATAGCGCATGCGTATTAAACACAGTAAAAGAGTTCCCTTCAGGGGGAGTAACTCACCTTTTGAAAATGGGGAATTAAACAAACTTAAAATATATAGTTATGAGTGATGAACAAGAGTGTCTCTGTCAAAATTGTGAATTTCATGGCCCCAGAGTCAGGGGTTCTGTGTGATGCTAAGGTGACCTAAAAGGCCCATGGGCCTCTTGTTTAAAGCAAATATACTAAAGCAAATATTAGTATCCGAATCGAAATATATACACACTGTATACTCCTGAAAAATTAGAATGAGAACCTATTGTTCGTTTTATGTTGACCTTTACCTACATACCTTTGAAAAAATAACACAAGTCCTTTGAACAGTTACCTGTAAATCTACGGCTTTAATATTTTTACATATACATGTGAACATGTATTTCTTATTTTAGATTTTCCCTTAAGTACCAACAATTTTGACCTTTGGGTGTGACCCACTTTTGAAAAACACACACCATTTTTGGCCATATTTTTGCACAGTTGGTGCTAGGGATTTCATTCTTCACAAGTGTATTTATTGTGACAAGACTGTGACCCTAAGAGTTGACCTACCTTTGAAAACATTAACCTTGGTCATCACTTGTAAATAGTTGGGTTAGAGCTTTCATATTTCACAGTAAGATTCTTTGTGATAACTTAAGTCTTTCTCTTGAGAACCAACAGTATTGACCTTTTATCCTTGATATTGTAGTTTGACCATATTTAAAAAATTCAAGTTTTGAACACTGTTGAATGGTAGGTGCTAAGGTTTTCATATACCAAGGACATTCCTTGATACAAGATCCAGTGGGCACCATAAATTTTGACCCATTTTCCTTGGAGATTGACCAGGGATGGGGTCGATTACTTTCAAAAGTAATCAATTAAATTACAATTACTTTGGATTTTAAAAGTAATCGATTACAGGCTGATTACAGCCATTCTTAAAAGTAATCAATTACATCTGATTACTTTTCCATCATGTAATCATGATTACGTGTGATTACTCTAGATTACATTAATCCCATTAATCCCCCCCCCAAAAAAAATGTTTAATGTTAAGGAATTTTTTTTTCATCATCATGCATTCACACATTTTAAAGGTAGAGTTCAAATACAGTTTGGATACATGTCTTTATATAGATGTTCAAAATAGTTCATCTGATCATCTTATTCCTATAATGTAAACATGTATTTGTAAATATCTGTGTTATTGTTGAGGAAAACAAAAATATTTTTAATTTGTCAATCAAATGAGACATATTATTATAGTTTAAGGAATTCAATAGAGAACTGTTTTATGTGTAATTGACCATTTTGATATGAGTGATGAACCTTTCAATTAAACTGCCAAGTGTTCAATGTTCTTACTAGAATTAACACTCTGACCGGACAAGCATAATTAGTTCTTTATTGTTCAAATAATTATCCTAGCTGACCCTTCTTATGTACACCTGTGTTTTATTGTTAATCAAATCACTTATTTTTAATAAATCAAACAAAGTTATGGTTTTAGAATACACATCAGAAAGATACATTAGAAAAAAATTATTTGTATATTCAAAGATTTACTGTGTTTACTAGGGGAAAAATTGCATTGCATACATGTTAACTGAAACAAAAAGAAAGTCAAATTTAAAATGATCCTGTAGAAATTTTCCTCAGCATATACTATATATATCTAGCCTCACAAGATGAATCGCTTAGATGCAAAAGTATTTTGAAATGACAACTGAATATAGCTAGGAACTGAGAGATTTTACTAATTGCCAGGATCAATGAAACTGATTAGAAGTATATCTGAAGGCAATAGAAGATAAAGCTATAGATATAGCCTATAATTTTTATCATAATTTTTGCTTATAAAAAAAATTGCACACTGAAAAATATTCACTGAATATCATTTAAAACCATCATTTTTTAAACTTCATTTTATTCATTGTAATCATAAAGTAATCAAAAAGTAATCATGATTACAAGACTTTTTTGAGAGTAATCGATTAAATTACGATTACTTGTAATCAGAAAAATGGATGATTACTGATTACTCCAGATTACTTGGCAAACTGTAATCTATTACAGCTGATTACGATTACTGATTATGATTACCCCATCCCTGAGATTGACCTACATTCGATAACTTTAACCTTGGTCATAACTTTTGAGGGGTTGCAGGTGCTAGAGATTTTATATTTTGCAGGTACTGTAAATCACTATTTATTCGCGAGAACTTTATTTTCGCGTAATTACGTGAGACAATATGCTCGCAAAAATTTCATTCTCGCAATTAATAGTATCCCTTAAGATTATATAGAGCAATGGCCGAAATTCGTGAAAATTTTGTCTCGCTAATAAAGAGTTAATGACTATCTCGCGAAAATAAGGTGTCGCGAAAATTAAGTGATGTACAGTAACAAAGCTTTGCCATGAGCTGTCTTATAGTTAAGTGCACCATTGATTCAAAAGCACAGAAATGTGACAGATTTAATGTGTTCTTGACTGCTCTCCCATGAAAATGCCTTAAATACTAGTAGACTTCATTTATGACAAATCTCAATCAAAGATGTATTGACTAGCACAAAAACAAGAGGCCCATGGGCCACATCGCTCACCTGAGAAGCTTTGACCATTCTGTTCTTTACCAGATTTCCCCCTTGTTATACATAATGCATCCCCACCCTAACCCACTGATCATAATGTAGACATTTTGAAATCTACACCACCCCATGATCCTTCCATGGGCACATATGTTTCAGCTTTTTTGGCCCAGTGGTTCCCGAGAAGAAGATTTTCAAAGATTTTTCCTATATATTTCTATGTAAAACTTCCCCGGGGGTCATGATTCCTACAATTTAGAATTTACACTACCCCAGAATGCTTCCACATAAGTTTCACTTTTTCTGGCCCAGTGGTTCTTGAGAAGTAGATTTTCAAAGATTTTTCCTATATTTTTCTATATAAAACTTTGATTCCCCATTGTGGCACTTCCCTTCCCCCGGGGGGTCATTATTTGAACAATTTAGAATCTACATTATACCAGGATGCTTCCACATAAGTTTCAGCTTTTCTGGCCCAGTGGTTCTTGAGAAGAAGATTTTCAAAGATTTTTCCTATATATTTCTATATAAAACTTTGATACCCCATTGTGGCCCCGCCCTTCCCCCCGGGGTCATGATTTGAACAATTTAGAATCTACACTACACCAGGATGCTTCCACATAAGTTTCAGCTTTTCTGGCCCAGTGGTTCTTGAGAAGAAGATTTTCAAAGAATTTTCCTATATATTTCTATATAAAACTTTGATTCCCCATTGTGGTCCCGCCCTTCCCCGGGGGTCATTATTTGAACAATTTAGAATCTACATTATACCAGGATGCTTCCACATAAGTTTCAGCTTTTCTGGCCCAGTGGTTCTTGAGAAGAAGATTTTCAAAGATTTTTCCTATATATTTCTATATAAAACTTTGATTCCCCATTGTGGCCCCGCCCTTCCCCCGGGGTCATGATTTGAACAATTTAGAATCTACACTACCCCAGGATGCTTCCACATAAGTTTCAGCTTTACTGGCCCAGTGGTTCTTGAGAAGAAGATTTTTTAATGACCCAACCATTTTTTTGTCTTTTCTTGATTATCTCCCCTTGCGAGGGGATATGTCCCTTCATTTTAACAATTTAAATTTCCCTTCACCCAAGGATGCTTTGTACCAAGTTTGGTCAAAATTGGCCCAGTGGTTCTTGAGAAGAAGTCGAAAATGTGAAAAGTTTACAGACGGACAGACAGACAGACGGACAGACAGACGGACGGACGACGGACAAAATGTGATCAGAAAAGCTCACTTGAGCCTTCGGCTCAGGTGAGCTAAAAACAACAAGGATATAACCAACATCTTGCTTTTACTGTTGCTGTACACACAATTGTAACTAGAACTGTCCAATAGGGACAAATACCCCCCGCTGGGTTTTTCAGAGAAGGTGCCAATTCAAAAATACTTTATGGATGTAGAGGTGTTCGCAATTTACTTACAAAAATTTGCAGTGAAATATAATTGCTCATCATGTTTCTTAATGAATGAAACAAAGGTGCAACCAAATGAAACATCAATACTAATACATTGTAATTCCATTGTAACATTATTTTTTTTATTTAATTTTTTTATTTCTGCATTAAAAAAATATATTGCAATTATGTGTTATGTCACTCTGAAAAAAAAGATTGTTGAAAAAAAATCATATTATACAAAATCAAATTAATCTTGATAACTTTATATCAAATTCAATTGAAAATAAAGAGCTGGTCATCCAGTAATGAAGTGCTTTGACAGACAATAAATTACAATTAAGAGAATAAGAGAAGAGAGATCTTTAATTCTTGTGCCTGATTCCCAGGAGATTACACATGGTTGATAATAAGATGCCTTAATGTTCAACTTCCCACACCAAACTCATTAATTTATCTTTAACTGGATGCATGTTCAGTCATTATTCCCAAGAGATAAATAAAATTACATTATCTTCTGTGCAATGTAAAAACTGTTTTTAACAATTGATGATGTTTCTTTTTTTAAAGTTTATATGAGTAGTTTTAAGCTGTAGTATTTTTGTACAGAATTTCTAGATTCTATGTCTCAAACCTTATACATGAGCCCAAAATGAACAAGTCAATTAAAATAAAAAATAAAACCTGTAAAATGCAAAAAAAATGAACAAAAAGAGTTGAAAATTCCAATTGCACACCTTCATATGGTGAATAATAAGTGTACAAATTTTCAGATTAATCCTTGCAATAGTTTCTGAGAAACGGTCTGGACAAAACCACAAAATAAAAATGAAAAAACACCTGTAAAATTCAAAATAATAATCGAATCAAGATGAAAATATCAGGTGCACAACTTCATATGGTGAATAATATTTGTACAAATTTTCAGACAAATCCTTCCAATAGTTTCTGAGTAATGGTCCGGACAAAATCTCGTCTACAGACAGACAGACAGACAGACAGACGGACAGACGGACATGGTGATTCCAATATACCCCCCCTAAACTTCGTTTGCGGGGGGTATAATAAATATTTTTATCCAGTTTACACCTGGGCCACCTATTTATCATGTAAAATGTTTTTTTTAAATCAAACTGGTTTGAATTTTTCGTGCTGTTGGTTCAAAATCAGAAATGAAACCTGGCCATTTCATTCTATTTGTAAAATTCCATTACCAGGTGGTTTCTTATGAAAACATTTGAAATTAAGCTTCCATGACCTTGTTATGTGAACTAGTATCTATTATTGATTTTTAAAATAATTCTGAATTTTAAAGATGTTGTGTTACAAAGGTCTGCAGTAAGTGTTTACTAATACTAGTAAAGTTTTAAAGAAACAAGAAATATTCAAACTGTAAACAGTATGAAGTAGAGGTATTTTTGAAATTAATGCATAAAACATCCAGCAGCAATTTTCCCCCAGAATTACTTATCCAATGGTTAATCTATGAATTCTACCTCTAAGATTTATGTCATAGTTTTCAGCAACTTTAAAAAAAAATATTAGTATGTTGCAATTTCCACACCAAAAGAAGCCACTAACTGTACCATAAAAAAGATTAACATCTTAATTAAAAACTGCAATAATATGCACTGAATTTCAATTTTGAATTTCTGTAAATAATTCATGTAGTTAATTACATTTTTTCATGTTGCATGTATTCTATTCAGATCTCAGTCTTGACAAGAACAACTATATATGGCTTTTTATTTGGTGGTTCTCATAAATGATTCAGGCATATTGTGCTGGAACATGAAAACAACAGCAAAGGTTTCATGAATAAGTTAAGATAAACTGACATATTGCATAAATCACAAGTTTCAAGAACTGTTCACCATTCATCATTTAGAAATGTTTTGGTAAAAGTACCCCTGAGTCAATTGTAATTTACCATACATTCAATAATTAAAATTTTGTATCTTCCCCAAAATATTGTGGGACTTATGATTTTAGCTTTCTAGATGCAACAAAGCCTTAACCCAATATAATTACCTATCTATCTATATGTAGATATGTAGATAATGATTTACTTTTTATCCACATTATAATGGAACTTTCATATTCATGCCTAAAGGTACCAATGAAATGCTTGCACTTTCACTTTCATTATAACCAGGCACATTCTATAGGATGGACACAAACATTCCCAGAATGCATCACTCTTGTTCCACCACTTTGAGGTGAATTTTAGCGGGTGCCACTTTGATGTCCTCCACTTCTGAATCACTGCTAGAAGTATCCGAGTCACTAGTGTCATTATCGTAGGCACCAAGTCCTGGCAAAATGCCAATTATTTTAGCCGTCTGCAGACCCTGTGATTTTGATGATGGTGTCTTCTGTTCTGAAGTTTCTGAATATATAAAGTGAGAATATAGGAAATTCAGTACAGAAATTAATCATCTGTTAAAACATATCTTTCATTCAAATGGTTTTTTTTATTGTCACTAGGAAGACAAATGGAATGAAACTCTTTTGTTAAATATCCGTAAGCCATGAAAGTCAGAAGTCTGTCTGCCTGAAGTTTAATTGTACCCACAGAAATCAAAATCAATCTTTTTGATACTTCATTCACAGAAATACTAATTTTAGTAAAATACAACTTGTGTATAATCTAGACAACATCTAAGGTCATGACAGATGAAGTTCTGAAAGCACATTCTTTTTATTTTGTGTTTCAGAAGAGGGGGGGGGGGCTTCACTGTTTAATTTCTTTTTTAAAGTGAAGACATTATAAAATTGAAAGTCATGACTCAATAAATTCTCCTTCTTTCTACGAATAAATTATTTTTTAATTGAAAATGAAAGAAGTAATTCTGTTGCCGTGCACACCTACCTTCTGATGAGAGTTTCCTCTTTTTGCTTTCTTCACTTGTTTCAACACTACAAAAAAAATGAACCAGGCATTTAAAGAAAGGAAAGGACTGGTAAAACTAAAGCTGTTGGTATTTTAGTACATGTAGTATACCATCAATTTAAATCTCCTCTCAACAGCTTCTGCAATCTGAACATTTAATTTTCCTGTTGTGCACAATTCAACCCACCTTTTCCTCTTAACAACTCCAGCTAGTAATGCCTGTTGTGATTTTTTATTTGATGTTGCTCCTATCTGTTGTTTAACTGGTTTCTTTTCCTCTTTTGGCCTGGAGTCCTCTATTTTGTGGACATTTGCTTCTTATTTTTGTCAAGGTTCTATAATCTTAAATGACTACTGAAAGTCTTTATTATAAGTTAAAATTTGAGATCCTTTTTCAAACACATTTTGAGATAAAAATCATAATCATCATTATAGGGACCATTACATAAATCTTATTTGAGGTTTCATATCTTTCAGGTGCTTTTTATATGCATTCGATTTGTAAAAGGATATTTTAAGTTCCAGGATAATTCTAGCTTCCTCGCTACTCCGAGCTTTTTCTATGGCAATCTGTCGATCTGACACATGGTCAAGAAATGCTACCTCATCTTCTTCTAGTCCCTTTACACTGTTCTCTAGAACAAAGAAAGTAAAGAAGTTAAATATTCTTGTCCATGTAATCAGCACGTCATTACAGATTCAATTCCACATGAAAAAACAATGACAACATGTACTTGCCACAGATATATTTTATGATGAAGATTTCAATGTTCCTTGGTGAATATATCTGTCCAAATTATCATATTTTACAACAAAGATTCAATGAAATGGATAATTGTATGATAGGTAAGGCTGGAGTTAACATCAAAGTGTCATGTTAACTCACTCAGTGCAAACTGCTCCTCATACTCCTGGTCCTTCTTGTTTTTCTGTTCCTGTAGACGTTCATACAAAGATCTGTTGTCGACCACTTCCTCTGGACATTCTGAAACAGAATTAGAGCATGCTGCTAAATACGGATTATATTCACAATTATTTTAAAGCTTAGAAATTGTGATAGTATACACTTATCCAGTGGTTGTGAGTGGGATAGCTCTTTTATCAAACCCGCGACAGGGAAGTGGATAAGCGTTTTATTACACTGATGTAATATAATTTCTGAAGATTGAATTTTTTTGGAGTAAGATAATACTGCAAGAATGATCTGAAATCCTAATGACGTCACAATGCTACTGAAGTCATTATGACATCATCAGTCAATAGATTTATCGCTGGAAATCAAAATTGGAGGCAAAAATTGCATGAAAATTTTCCGAGGGTGGATAGCAAAAATATACCCCGGGGTATAGCTTTGCTATGCGTGGTCTATAAAGAGTAGTTATTTTACCTTCTGAACTTTATATAGGAAAAATTTTAACAGAAGTATAATAATGCCATTTATTATACTTCTGTTAAAATGTTTCCTCTATAAAGTTCAGAAGGTAAAATAGCTAATATCTTTGATAGTCCACGTAGCAAAGCTATACCCCGGGGTATAGTTTTTGCTATCCACCCTCGGAAAATTTTCATGCAATTTTTGCCTCCAATTTTGATTTCCAACGATAGATCTATCTACTGATGATGTCATAATGACTTCAGTAGCAGTGTGACGTCATCAGGATTTCAGATTATTCATGCAGTATTATCTTACTCCGAATAAATTCAAACCTCAGAAATTATATTATACATCAGTATAATAAAACGCTTATCCACTGTTTGTGAGTGGGATAACTCTTTTATCAAACCCTTGACAGAAACTATTCCCCTCGGGCAAGCCCTCGGGGAATAGTTCTCTGTCGCGGGTTTGATAAAAGAGCTTTTCCACTCACACCCAGTGGATAAGTGTATATTATATACTTTTTTAAATGACATGGATGTGCTATATGAGCACAAGAATCTCCTGTCTAATTACTACCCCCCCCCCCAATATTTGGTACCAAAGGTTGAACTTGTTTGTTTACTTATGTGATGAGTACAAATGGTTCTCCAATGATCCCTCCTCCCCCAGCCTTTTTCCTGGTTATCCTCTGGAACATCTTCCACTTGTCCAATTCTTCTTGTCTTTTTCTTTCCCACCCCTGAGTAAGTACCAGTACATCCCCCCTCCTGTTCCCTCAGTCTTGTTTCTTAGTTACCTTCTGGATCATCAGGCCCCCTCTTTTTGTCCCACTCTTCTTGTCTTTTCTTCCTTTTCTCTTCCAATGTATCCTGGCTGACAAACCTTGCAGATAAATCTGAGGAGGACATCTCACCTTCTACAAAGAATGAAAATAAAAACAAATTTAACATATGGACAATATCTATGTTAAAAAATAAAAATACTTAAATTAAGCTTAGATAGAACTGGTACATGATATATATGTTATAAAAAATTACGTTAAAGATTTACATGATATTTTCACTGATTTCAACTTAAATGTCCAAACATTTCTATAGTTATATTGACTTTAAACTGTGTCTGATATTTAAATGCTAAGTCAGAAAATATTTCGGTTTTTGTTTTCAATCTATGATACCTATGAAATGTAATTGATTTAAATTGCATAATTTACATTAAAGTCCTATCTTTATATAAAATAACAAACCAAATAGAAAGATCTTTTTAATTTAAGAAGTCTGAACTTATGAAAGATAGGCAATATATGACTTTAAAAATATGAAAACATTGGGCAAGCACACCTTCATGAAGTTGTTAAGTGAAAAAATTGTACACATAAAATTTCAGCTGGATTGACTGAGGAATTTAAATGGTATCTTTTTCGAATATTTCACTGACTTAATTAAAGATATTTCAACTTTTGATGGAAGGATATGGACTTACTCAAATTTATTTTGAAACTAATAATCACTCTCTAGCATGCAGCGAAATAATTTAGTAAATGCTTTTTATTCCTTTTGAGAGCTTTCCATATGAATATCTGTCAGATTTAGTTGCACAAATGTGAAAAACAGTGAAGATTAATAAGTTTCGTGACACAAGGGGCTCGAATCAAATTAATCAAGAACAGCAAACAGTTGTTAGTGGAAAACTTCCGATTTCTCTCTGCATGATTATTAAATTATAGCAGCTTCACTTCTCTTCTGCGAGTGGCAATGTTTGTTCGAGCATTTGAAAGTAAACCCTATCATTTAAGTCCAACAATGTCGATGATTTATAAGTAAGGTGGCAACAGAGCACTGGCTATGGTTAAAATATTTTGCTACATTTACCAAAGGTGTCCCAAGAGAGAGGGAAGATGACATATTTGGGAGCACATGATGCATTAATATAATTCTCTATACTGTCACGGAAGAATTGATAAATCGCTTATGGAAATGACCCTGACTGCTGTTTATTGATTCCTGACATGAACCCAAACTGTACCCAGTCATGAAACTGGAAATAGGAGAGAAACTGGCTCATCTGATTCCCCCAATAAAGTCTCGATGGAGGATCATCAACAACCATCAACAAACATGGATATACTGATGCATGACTGATATAATGTAAATGTATGGCTCAGATACAAGGACTCAAATTACAATTGCATTACTCGGTAATTGGGCATGAAATCATGATTGCTTGTAAAACATGTAATTGAAGAATATTCCTCTGTCAGTTTCAACTGCAATATTTCTAGATATAAAAATTTCATTAAAAATCAAAGGCTGCTGAAAATAGTGACTAATTTACAACCAGTACAAAAAAAATACTGGGTGAAATGAAATTGCAATGAAATGCTATCTAAAGTACTTGCAGTAGCCAGTAAAATAATAGCTGCAGAACTATAGCTCTCCAAAAAAATATATTGACAGACCGGAGAGCTACAGTGCCACCAATTGAAAAAACTGTATATTTATTGCGCACGAAAAAGTGCACTGTTTCTACTTCACATGTTATTTATTCAGGTCTTTAAACTGTATATATATATACAACCACCTGTGTTCCTGTTTAAATAAACTTTAACCTTCAATGTTTTCACAGCAAAGACATTCCTATTTAATTGTTTTTTTGAATTAATAGCAATCCTGGCCCTGAAATTTGAGATCATCAAAAATTTTACAAAAATTCCAAAAATCTGCCATTTTGGTTGTAAGATAATTCAGTTCAACGGTTTCTGCTTAAAAATTGATGATGATATCTGTCATAAAAGAGGAGTTTGGAATTTTTTGAAATGTAGCTTTTTGGCAATTACACCTTTAAAATTTTTAAGTGTGGAATGAACGTTTTAAATCTTTTGTTCCAAAAATAAATAATCTTTTTTTCTGAAAACAGTCAGTGAAAGTTTTGTACACAAAGAGCTTTTAAAATTGCCCTCCGGGGCTTCAATATATATTTTTTTCGTGAGAGCTGATTTTCTGCAGCTATGAAATATATTGTAAATTTATCCATTTCAACTTATTGTTCCTGATATATGAAAACTTGGGTGCAACCTATTACAAAAAGAACTTTATAAAACAAGGTTATATACACTGTATATACATTCTTATGTTGTTTCAAAAATTTTAGAGGAAATGTTATATCACCTACTTAAAAATTCTCACTCATGTAATAAGAGGAAATAAGAGCAAAAGGAAGAAAGATTTATTTTTTAATCTTTAAAATTGTAGCAAGATCATGCAATTGTCAGGAACAGAAAATTATGGCATACTGGTACATATAGTTGTATAGCTCTTACCAATTTGTATTCATTAAAATGTTTAATGAAAATATTATATTATAACACTCTCATCTAATTAAAACACAAAATAAGGAAAAGTAAAATCAAGGTCTTATGAAAAGTCTATGATAAATTTTTTTGATTACATGTGAAAAGCTTTAATCAATTACTGGGTAATGACTTGATATGAGTGATAAAAATATCATGAACAATTTTTATGCCTCCATAAATAAAGATTTGGGGGTACATGTCATGTATATAGTTTTTGTCCTATCCATCTGTCTGTCTGTTAGTCACAAAAAACTCCAACCTTGCTCATAGCTTTTGATTGCTATGGCTATAGTATTTAAAGCTGAACACAATTCATAAAAGGAATGTGTCCGCCATTTTTGCTCGGATTCTCGCTATATCTGCAGACCTCTATATAAAGGGCAGAACTTAGTCACTGTTCAGTGTAATCAGTCGACACCAGTGTACATGAACGTATGCTATACAGCACTCTGTAGTGACAATAATAACGTAATACTTCGTCTAATGTAGGAAAGTAAGATACCAAAGAAACTTACAATTATAGTTGTAAAGGTCAGTGCAGTTTACAAACAAACACAGATACACGTAACTGCAATAAAATGTAAACAAATTAAGGTAATGCAAGATAACTAGCATGAACACGAGTCACCATTCCACGCCAATAACCGTGACAATAAAGCAGTCAGGTGTAACGAATCTGAAGAGCATACCCTGGTTTTGATGTATCATAGATAATGATATCGAAAATGGCGTATGCCTATTTACAAGTCGTGTTCAGCTTTGATAAGTTCCTTGTGACAAGACTTTTCTTTGAAAACTAACATATTTGATCTCTTGACTTTGGAGTTTGATTCATTTTTGAAAGAACAAAACAAAACAAAACTTTAACCTTGCCCACAACTTCTTAACAGTTGGTGCGAGGGCTTTCATACTTCACATGTGTATTTATTGGAACAAGATCTTTTCTTGGTATATATATATATTCTGACCTTGACCTTCGAGTTGATATTTTATATTTATATTAATTATATTGTTTAATAATTTTTTATATATATATATATATATCTGTAAATTATATTGTGAATATTGCAACGGATGTGTAGTATACCAAATAAATATCTATCTATCTAAGATATTTCCCTGGATAATATGTATTTTGACCTTAGAGTTCATCCTACTATTAAATATCTTTGACCTTGCCTTGGCCTTAACCTTTGAATGTCTAGATCTTGGGCTTTCATAATTCACATGTATACTCATTGAGAAAATTCCTTTCTTTGACCTTGGAGTTTGACTTGCATTTGACAACTCTAAGTTTTGCCATATAATCTGCCATACAGGTCAGAAAATGTGGCAAACTTATCGCTAAACTCTCCTTACAATTCTTAGAATAAATTGTTTCTACACTTCACATAGAATGTCATCATCTCTTTTATTTACCATTACAGTACTACATATGCATACTAAGATAGTTTTCATATGGCATATTTTCCCTTCCAATTTCCCTTGGCCACCATCTTGGAGGTCAAATTGGAAAATCTTTTCCTTTATGAACTACCAATTTAATTATTTTAATAAGCATGCATGGCAGTTCCTCTTTGAAGAACCAATTTTATGCATGTATATAAGCAAAACTATAGGGACAAAAATCAATTATGGAATAAAGGAAGCTTTGTAAGAAATACTATGTCCATCTTTGCTTTAGTGCCCAGAATAACAAGTTGAAATTGGTTGAACAATGTAGGAATCTTGACTTCAATGTTGACCTCAATATGGCTACCAATGGGAAATAAATCTTGCTAAAATCATGTGACTATGCCAATGTCTAGGTGCCAGTCCTATGGATCAAGTTTAAAGACAGAATTTGTTCCAAGTATTGGATATCAAGCAAAATAAATACAGCTAGACAATAACTCCAACTTAGTGCATTTACTACAAAAATCCAAAGTGTCTGGAATGTCTACATGATCAAACATTAAAAAATTTAGCTGAAATTTTGTTCTTAAAGTAGCAAGCGGCGCGAATTGCCACTGAGTCAGACACAATGCCAGCTCTAATGACAATGCCTTGGCAAAGAAAATAATTCTTATTGGATTTTCATAATTTTTTCCGCAGTAATATCTGGACCCACAATGCATCACTTGTTTACAGCTACTATCTTGTAAGAGTATAAACATCAAATGTTCAGCAAAAAATAAACTCGCCTTGTTTTAATGAATATATTGCACATAAGTAGTAAAGGTGTCCAGTCAACTCGTACACAGACCGAGTCGTACACAAACCAAGTCGTACACAAAAAGTCAACTCGTACACAAATCAGAAGTCATCTCGTACACAACGTTTTATTTACAATTGTTAGGAATTGTTTTTATATAAATAATGTATATTCTAGAAAAAAATGAAATAAGGACAAAGAGAAGTGTTAATCTTTAAAATTGTTGTTGAACATTTTAATAATTTTTCTTGTTAGGTCTAAGGAATTTGAACAATTATTGTTAAACCAACACATGGTACAAGCGCGGTGATTTCTTGGATTTGCGACAAACGCTAAATTACGATACACTCCTAATTTGGTCCAAATTTCACCCTTCTTTAAACTTCACCATGGTGCGAGAGACATACGTGTTTATCCAGCAGTAAAACTAAGTATTTATAATACTGTTTAAATAAACAGTCTAATTATATGAAAATACACGATTTTTCTAGCCTACTCTGAAGTATACTATCGTACTCTAGCGTACTCTGTTTAGTAACTACCCCTTTTTTAAATTTGATAAGTTTTATCAATGTTTATGAAAATTGTGTGTAATGATTGATACGATGTACCATTAAAATCTTACAATGTATTTCAATCGCATTTACTATCTACACGATATATATAACAATACATTATGGTGCCATAAATTTTCTAACTTTCTAAATGTATTATATTTATATCTATATATTACTTGCATGAAAGTAGACTAACTTTAAGATGTAAAATTTACGTATTACAATTTGTTGTGGTGAAATTGATTATGTCGTTTAAGATATATAAAATTAAATCCACAGAATCAAAAAAATGGACCTCTCATTTATGCAACAAATAAATATTTAAATTATATAACAAAAATACTTACGAATTGAAACCTAAGATCTAATTACGGGAAATTCAAAATCTTGTGGGAAAAAATTCATCTGCACATATGGTATAGGTAAATCCAGAGGCATAAAATAGATTGAAATGTGCAAGAAAAACCTTTGTGTACGAATTGACTCCTCAATTTTTGTACACTGAGGAAAATTATACCTTAAATCCAGACTCCGCTGTCGGTCATTTGGACTTGCCATTTGTACCAAACAGATTTCTATCAGTCCAAAAAAAATTCTAAAAAGATGAAAACTGTATTTGAATTTTATTATCAATACATCTTGCACCCTGCATCAATACACACTGCACATTTCAATTTGATACCAATTAAATCACATAGGAAAACCTATGTACAAATGACAATGTGTACGAGTTGACTTCTGATTTGTGTACGAGTTGACTTCTGATTTGTGTACGAGTTGACTTTTTGTGTACGAGTCGGTTTGTGTACAACTCGGTTTGTGTACAAGTTGACTGTAAACCGTAGTAAATAATGAAACTTAAATACGACGTCATGGAATGTCAGAGTCTGGATGCACAAACTGTCATCACTCATGTGTGGTTTGACAAGCCCCATTTAAATTAAAACTGAAAAAATATATGCGCTCACCCTAAGGCCATAATAAAAATATTCCTAGATTCTCATCCCCGCCCGCCCCAATTTTATACCCCGCCTCGATTTTTCTTATTTCTATTTTTCTCCGTATTAATTCTGATCGGGATCGGTATTCATCTACCATTCTACTTTCGTTTTACGTTCCGCGAAAGTCGACATAATTTTGACAGCTGAAAAGATGGTAATAGCTGTAATACATGCGTATATATCATTGGTTGAAAAAGATTGGTGATGATGTGAAGTAAAAGACATGAACCTTTTCTATGACTTTTATTTGGGTATTGTAGATAAAATTACACCGATTGACCAGGTCAATAAATAACAAATCTGCAAAATTGTGGAAATATAAAATAAAAGCCCCATTTTTAAAAAAATTCGGATGAGAATCTAGCAATTTATTTATTGTGGCCTAATGGTCCACCTCTCAACAGATTATGATCTTTGGGAAGTCAGTAAAAGGTATATAAGGACTAAGAAATGTCTGTTATGGTTGATTTGGTAGTTATTTTCAGTGCAACTCCTTTTTGTATGCTTCAAAATTGTTCCGAAGCAGATCCACTCCTATATGCTTAATTGCAACTAAATGATCTATATTCTAATTTGAGTAATGGCATGTCCAAAAACAGGGTTTCACTTTGATTATTTAAATTTTATATGGCAAATGTAAATCGACAGAACTAAACCCATATGGTGACAACTCCTAACCTATGCTCCTATGCCTTGACAGAACTAAACCCATATGGTGACAAGCCCCTTTGGTTCTTAATGGTGCTTGTTACTTTCCCTTAAATTTTTTTGCATCTTATTTGATAATAATAAACTGTAGATATGCATGTTGCATCTCCACTCTCAAACAGTTATAACGTCTGAAAAATTACTGGAATCATGTAATGCAGTAATGATGGTAAATATTGTCTTATTTTGATTTTCATAGAAAGAACAAGTTGTCTGAGATTTGGAAAAAGAAAAAAGTGTACATTGAAAGTAATTCAATGCAGAGAGACCATGAAATGAAATGATCCTGTGAAAATCTGGGAAAATAAAGCAACGAAACTTACGCCACACAGCACTTCTCTACGCTCTCAAAAAATATTCAATGTTACATAAAGATTGTTACAATATTCTGTTTTCTTCGTTCTGAAAAGCGTTTGGGTGATGAAGAAAAATTTACGCATGCGCATTCATTAAAATGCTACTTTCACTTTCAACTGAAAATGACGACCAAAGAATCGACTGCTCATGAAATATTTGTGGAAGATGGGAAGAATAAGACAAAACTGTATTGTGAAAGATGTAGTTCTACTGTTTTGTTACCAAAGAAGGCTGTGTATTGTGAAGTAGAGGTAATTTGTTTAACAGTTTTGTAAAAATGACTATTTTAGTATTTGTCAGATCTGCATATCTGTGGACTGGGACCAATGCCTAGAATATAGTTTTTAAAAAAATTATAAACTGTATCGCTATCACAACTGTTAGATTTCGTCCTATAAAGTTGCAATGTAGTATATCAAAGTAGATCCGCTCCGAAATGATTAAGAAGGTAACAGAACAGCTGATGTTAACATTTTTCTTGGATGTCAACATATTTTTCTTGCATGTTGACATACATGTTTTTATTTTTCTCTTGCATTCTTGCATGTAAGATATAAATCTTGCTTTTAAAAAATTATTTACTGGTTACTGTTAATGCCATGTCAACTGTGGGGAATTCTCTGGATCATTTGTGGTAGACATATTATCTACCCTGTTTATTTTGCTACAGACTGAAAGTTGAAAGTCTAATATTTTAAAACCAAAATTTATGACAAAGACTTTGTATTATTTTAACAATTCCAAGGTTTGGGAAGAGCTTAATTTATTCCTTTATACTTCTAGTTTTTCATGCCTCATATGAAGAAAAAGGCTGATGGAACTTCGGAAACGGGCGAAACATTGAAGAAATATTGGAAAGTGGATGACATGTTTGAATTTGAAAATCTAGGATTTACAAACACAGTTGAAACAATAAAATACCTCATCTGTGCAGACTGTGAAATTGGACCTATTGGGTGGCATGACATTAACAATAAAAAAGCATTTTACATTGCTCTGGATCGGGTGAAGCATGCAGAATAAGTTAAACTTTGTTCAGGAAGATGTTCATCAGCGTGGGACCAAGTCATGAAAATATCCATTTAACAAAAACAATTTTCTTCTTATTGTTTTGTATTCATTTGAAATATTATATAAGGCTCTTCTAAACAAACTTATATGTAATTAACACACTCACTGCAAGGTGTAAACTTTAAACACCAAAGAAAGAACAAAGTCAAATAATTTTTCTCTTTTTATTACAGTACTAAGACATTGAAATGAATACAACACATGTGATGTTTGTAAAAAAAAAAAAAAAAGATAAAAAATTTCATAACAAATAAATAACATAAATTATTACATGGTGTTAAAAAAGAGATTTCAAAATAATGTTAAAGGATATTTATCACAGCAGATGATGGATGAAAAATTGCACTTCAAATCTGATGTAAAATATAACATTGTACAGCTTAATTTATGTCACAGCTACTCATAACAACATTGATTAAAAAAATAAAAAATTACAGAGTTCTGGTATAATAAATTGTCCACAAACACCTCTTGTGTCAAACACACATGTATACACTGAAAGTTCTTTGGTTTGATGTTACTGTGGTATGTCATGATGAATAAAGCTGCCTTTTAATCGGATGAGAGATCCCTCTTTAAGAGTCGTCTTTCTTAATCTCTGGTAATACAGCATCTTTTGGTTTGTCCATGTCTATTCTAACACCTGGAATTGTCAATCAAATTTTATTATTTAATGCTGTGTGAGTGTACATGGAGTTGAAGATTTTGGTTTATAAAAGTTTGATAATTTATGTGAACAAGTTGTATATCTTACCTAAGAAAGTGGGGAATCTAGGGGATCCAGAGTTTGTGTACTCCTGGAATTTGTATGTGATGATGGAGCCTATTTTGGGAGGGCGGTTGTGATCTTTGTCGCTCAATCTGTTATAGAACAAAAAAATTTTTTAAAGACATTGTACCAACTGTACAAACCTGGGGTTTTTTAATCTTTTTTTTTTTTTAAATGAAATGTAGTCATGTTTTTACCCAGATCCTACTGAGAATATTTTTCCATTGGCCATTTTGCATCTAAGAGCTCCTACTTTTCCTTGGAAACGACCTTTCCCAGGGTCATATCCTATGACAACAGCCTGAAAAATTAAAAATTAAAAAAAAATTAACATATATATTTATATAATGGGTTTTTGTACACATGAAACAGGTGACAAAATATTTATTTTTTGTGGAAAATAAATGTACAATTACCTCAGCATCGTAGAATGTTTTGATCTTGAGCAGTGTATTCGATCTCCGCCTTTCATACTGAGATCCAGGCTCGCGAATCATGAGCCCCTCCCCTCCAAGGCCAATAACTCTCTTCAGTTCATCATCAATCTGCTTTTTGCCAGTACATTTTTCTTGCTTGCACATGACTGCATATTCAGGACTGCAAAAGGACAAAGAGATTAAATTATATGCAATAGAGGCATTTAGTTGGAATGGAAATGTATTCTGAAAATCCCTTTCAAAATTATGTGAGACTTTTGTGTCACAGGTGGTGAAAAATCATGTCTCAACTGGGACTTGAACAGACCTGTGAACCCGGTGATATTTGGTTTAAAAAAATTCAAAATTCAAATTTTCAAATGCAGCTAACTTACTTAATTTCATCAAAAAAGTCCTTAATGGATTTCATCCTCTTCTCAAATGTCTCCTTTTGTAGATTAGGGGCATCAAACACGTGGTACTTAATTTTCTTCCACTGGTCACACTCGGGGGTCTTCACTATACTAACAGTGCTCTGAAAATTCTTCCTGCCCCCAAACAGCTCCCCATCTAAATGCATGTCTGTGGGTAGGTCCTTTGTGAACCACTTTGGAGCATAGAATGGATTGCCAAGTCGAGAATAAAAACATCTGCAAGGGAAATTTGATGTTATTTAGTACGGTAGTTAAAATTATTTGAATTGTTAAAACATGATTTCGTTTTTCTTAGAAATATATTTTTATTGGTATTTCCTTTTTTAAAACTTACCTTCCATTCCAAAATGCTCTTACACCATCTAACTTCTCACTGATCCACCAGTTTGTAGGATCATTTTTCCTGTAAAGACCAGACATAAGTAGGAGTTTGATTTTTTAAAAAAGATTCGTCATTTTTGTGTAAGAATGGATGAAAAAAATTAAGAGTAATATGTATATATATGTTTGTGTGAATTAGAAATTCATTTTACTTTAAAAATTAGCCAGGTTAACTTACTTTTCATCGTATTTGTTTGCTAACAACAGGCTTATGTTGATATGTTGGAAAACTTTGGAGGGAGCTGGTGTAACTTTTTTATCAGCAGGAAGTTTGCCTACTCGTGATTTTTCAAACTCATCTCCCAGATATTCTCTCAGGTGTCTGCAAGTTCTCTTGTTTGGAGCATTTTTCTGTACTTTCCACCCAATGCATCTAAAATGAAAAGAGATGTTTATAGATTTGTGTCTGTTTCCATACATGTATTTAGTTCTGTTTATTAACTGTTAATATTGTACAGGTATATTGTTCTTTAAAATAAACTGAATTATTTAGAATGATGAATTTTGTTATGATTCAAGTAAAAAATTCTTGACAATGTCAATTTCAATTTATGGTTAATGATAGAAAATCCCAAAATATTGATGCTATAGAAAATACGGGATACTTGCTAACTAGTGCACTGGGTATATAACTTACGTGCAGGTGTAATGGCTGCCGATTCTCTTCAGTCTGTATCCCCCCGCCACTGATTTTTCCTCCCCGTCCTCAATTTTATTTTCTGCTTTAGGTCGTTTAGTTTTCTTTGGAGGTCCATCAGCAGGGTGTCTGAACTGTTTGATATGATTTGGGTCCTTCCTGTAACACTTCTCCCAGTATATACAATCAGGACGGTCATCGTCTTCAGCTGTGGATGGTCCTGCTACATCGTCACTGGTTGAAGGCTTTGGTTTTTCCTGATAAATATAAAAATAGATATAATCACACATAATAATAACATCAGAACAGAAATCATATACTTTATTTGTTTTTTTTTTAAATAAGTAAATACTGTGCAGATTTTTATTTTTCATGTACATGTTTCTAATGTTAGGTACAATATATAATTTTGCATTTTTGATTATGATACTAACCATGCTGACAGAGCGAGACCTGAGTTTTTTAAGAGTTGGTCGACTTGGATCCACATCCATATCTTCTGTTATACTCAGTTCATGGGTTTTTTGCCTCTTTAGTTTCAGAGGAGATTTTTTAACCTCGGGTTCTTCAATTTCTGTATCTGAAGTAAAATAAAACACACATTTCACTATCATTCTAGAAAAAAGGGCTCATAAGCTTAAAATTCATGCATGATCCAGTTTAAGTGATAATTAGTACATGAACATGAGAACGTTTTATACCTGTGTCCCCATCTTCCTCTGGATGTAGGAAGTTTTTGAAGTGATCTTTATCTTTTCTGTAACATTTTGTCCAGTACTTGCATTTCTGTTTTGTTGCCATAGTGTATATGTTTTAATGGATTTCTGATCTATTTGACCTATAAGATAAAGATAACATTCATTATAATGGGAAATATGTACATACATGTATTAACATAAATTTTTCTTTCCCTTGTACAAGTTTATATGTATTCAGCTTAATTTTTGGAAATATATTCTACATGTACGTCTTACTTGTTGCGTTTTCCTGTTATGAATCAAGAGAAACGGCAAACCGGCATTTATACCTTGTATCTTCCTCAAGTACGAACATGCAATGGACACGCCCACAAAATTGTAAACAAACACCTGTCATTGCTTCGGGATTTTCCCATTATTGAAAAGGTATAAATAAGAGGCATTCCGAAAAATTGTTGCCTTTATACTATTTTTAGAACACGAAGACTTGCGATTTGTAACAAACATAGACTTACGATTTTTCAAGACTTGCAATTCATCCGAAAATATAAATTTTAGAAAAAACTACAAACAAAAAATATTCTCTTCTCTGAAATTGCACGAATAATAATAATTTACACATAAAAACAATGTATTAAATACTTTTCATTGTATATATTGTCTGTTATTATACATATTGTTTTATATATATTTAATATGTCCATTGGATCCCGATTTGGTAATAATAAGTGTTATTCTATTCCGATTCTATTTTTATTTTATAAGACTATACACATGCACTTGTTGCTGAAATAATTTTTTCACCCATAGTATGCAAACAATTAAGTTAAGTATAAGCAAAATCTGAGCCTATATTTTTTTTTCTAATACGTTCTCTCTTAATTAATACTCCTGTGGGATCATTCTACCTATTCCCACTTTTTGAAAATCAGGTAGGAAAAGGTAAGATTTCATGTGGGAATAGGTGGAATTTTTGTCTTAACAAATAATTAAAGCAATATGAGCTGCAACTTTGATGTCGGAAATTTTTGTTGCAAAATTTTAAGTAACTTTTTCAGTGACAGAAAAAAATAACGTTAATAAACTACTGTTATTCGTATTTGCGATGGAAGAACTATTTATAAGCTTTGATTGAATCAAAATTACATTGTTGTCGTCCTGTACAATAATGATTTCTTATATAAAACTGTATCTTGGAATAGAAGTCTATCTTCTGCTTTATTTCAGTTTAATTGATCATTAAAGTTTAAGTTACATACAAATTTATCTTAATGACACATTTTAACAGCAAATTAAAAATTTTCAAAAAATGCAGCTCATATTGCTTTAACTAGGAAAACATATAACTACTATGTAAACAATGATCAACAATTATTAATGAGTACCTGTTGGAATAGAAGACTGGTATATTTACTTTTTAGGATTATAAATCAGACTTTTTATACCTGTATTTTAAAGAAAAATAATAAACTAAATCATTTTCAAAATGTTCATTTTAAAATCTAGCTACTTCAATGCTCCCCCCCCCCCCCCGATAAATCTACATGTATTTATTTTATGCTCTAGAATCAGGATAGGAAAGTGCTTATTCTTGTATCACTTTTCTCTTTGTTATTTTCTCAAATCCATAAATTTATCGATAAATGAAATAATTCATATTTTTCATAAATTTATTCGTTATTTTCTGTCTTAAAATGGACAAAATACTTATAAATCTAAGAGGCGACGTATTAAGTCTAATTATTGTGAAAACAAATTAACTACATAAACATCTACATGTATTGTTATTTACAAGTGGGAATGGGTAGAATTGAATTTCTAAAAAGTGGGGATAGGTAGAAGATACCCTCCTGTGGAAGTTAGAAAGGAGATTTAATTAATATTGTAAAAGTTGCCGATAAATAATTCGTTATGAACGAGTGATGAATATATACTGTGTATAAATGAATTAATTTATGCTTATTTTTGAACAAAAAAATATGTTGTCAAACTTTCAGATCGAGTTTTCAAGATGTATCATAATTATATACACCCCCTGCTTCAAAAGTGGGAGGGTATGTAGTGATCGGGGTGTCCGTCCGTCTGTCTGTAAGTCCGTCCATCTGTTAAGCTTTGGGATACCATCTCTTATCTTCAACTTCTCTTTTAATTAACACTGAATGTTTTAATGAGGTTTTTACGAAATATTTGTTTCATAGTGCCATTGTGCACCACCGACTCGGGTGATTTTATTTTTTGATCGGACAAATACTTTGGGTTTCAAAGAGCAAAAGACACGATCATTCGTTGTATAATATTGAAGGATAGTATACCCATTATAGTCTCTTATCAGAAACTTCTCCTATACCACTGAATAAAATTTGATACTTACATAGGTTCTTTAATACATAATCATAATGTCATTGTGACCTCCTATTTTGCTTTTTGATCTGACACTTATTTTGGGTACCCCAGAGCAAAACATGGATTTTGCCATTTTAATGGTATATGGGAGGCGGGGAGGGGTAACATTAGTGAGCTTAGTGCTTACAGTACCTCTAGTTTAAATTTAGATTTTTATATTTTAAAATGCGGAAGAAAAATCATCGTGTGGCAAGATGGTATCGAGATCCATAAAAAAAGTTATCATACACGACCAGAAACATGTTCTCAAAACACTGACATTTAAGTTGGCAGAGACCTAGCTATAAGTTCTGGTGTCATGCCGTCACGTGCGAGGTAAAGATGACATTCAGTTTAGAAAAGTAGGAAATAGTTCTATTTCAGTTTTCAAGCGATGTAATTGATAAAAACCTCTAAAAGTGAAGTGATATTATTTTTTGTTGCTATATTAAACGATTTGTGTTGGCGATACCACCCTGCTAAATTTTTAGTTTTAATTTTCTTACGTTGAACGTATTTTCCCTTTTATAAATATCAAGAAGCATATACCCAACACTAGGTGCAGATATATAAGCACATGAAATCAAAAATCAAAGCGAATAAAATTTAAAATTTTTGAAATAGTTGAAGTCCTTTTGTTAAAATCTTGTAATACTACGTAATCAAGAAATTGAATTGAAGTCAAGTCTATTGTCATGACAAGTTACGAAATTATAGTCCCCTTGTCAAAATGATATTATATAACATCAGTATAAAATTATAAATGAATTGCCACTGTTTAATTCACTTTATATATCAAGAACACCGCAAAATTAAAGGGGAAGGGTTTTAGATCGAGAAGAAAACCGATCACCTCGTAGAAAGCGAAAATTCATTTTTCTTCAGTGTCATGAAATTTTTAATTTAGCGCGTTTTTGTGTTACTTTTTGGTTATCATTGAAATGGTTTGTTTTTCCTTCAAAATGTAAAGCTAAGAGATAAAGAATTTTAAATTTATCATAAAAAAGATAAACTTTACACTATATGCTTGAAATCTATACCTTCATGATAATGAACAAGATTCTGTGAAAGTCTCATTTAATTTCATTCAGTGGTATAAAAGGAGTTGCGGATAAGAGATGAATACCCTTCAATATTTTAGAAAGAATGGCAGTGTCCATATTTTGCTAGGGGCACCCAAAATAGGTCACAGTGACACTATGTAACAAAGATTCTGTGAAAGTCTCATTAAATTTCCCTCATTAGAATAAGATGAGTTGCGGATAGGATATGGTACCCCAAAGCGTGACAGATGGATGTACAGGCGGACGGCCATCCCGATCACTATACACCCTCCCACTTTTAAAGCGGGGGGGGGGGTTATAAAATACATACAAAAGGGGAGAAAAGTTTTAAATAGTACTGTAAGATTTTTCCCAACTTTACACTTGAAATAAGACTTTCATGGGGAGGGGTGAGAAAATGATGGTGAAGGTGTGATTCTGTGTCTTAAATAAACGATAAAAATGACCACAATCGAAATCTTTATTTCAGGGGGGGGGAGTATTTGACTTCATTTTTTAATATTTTACGAGGGTTGTCCCGTAAAATCGTGGACAAGTTGTCTAGTTTGAAAAATAACCATCACTGCGTTCTGAAACTTTCACTACTCTTTAGTACATATGTTATGAATAAACAGAGCAAATTTCAGATAGATACATGCATTAATAAACAAATTATTAGATTTTATGTTATGTATTGTATCGCCCTACTGCGCACGGATGATAACGTCAAAGTGTCCAAAACAAGCGTTACGTTTCATCTTTGCTTAAAATAAAGTTGGATAAGTCCCACTTAAATTTAGAAATGCCATTGATTCACATACGTGAGTGTCTATAACTAGTTAAGGTACTAATCTGGCACATACATGCAATCTTCTAATGATTTATTATGAAGTTACGGACAGTATTCTCACCCCTCAGTCAACCAACAGACAATCTCATATCCACGGTCGACAGTGACAGCGTCTTTTGCTATTACAATAGCAGTTTGTCCGTATATTTTGTACTACCTGGGGACTCAATCAAAAAGACTTTGCTAAGAAAACTTATATACTAAAGATCTGGTGATATTTGTCATATTTCCTTTCTTCTGTATTCATTTAAAGTCTCTTAAAGTGTCATTACAACATCCTAATCTAACGGAACAGTACTGCTCTCCGGTGCGCCGTAATGTCATCAATAATCGCTATTTTCCGTGTGTTGTGTTTACTTCTTTCCCATTTCGAATGCTCGGGAAACTGCCAAAAATTAACCAAATGCCTTGAAATTTTAATAGAGACGACAAAATTGATTAAGGAATCGAATTATGATAATTTTCATTTCAATCTTATGTATTGAAAACTTTAATTACGAATTAATTCTTGTGTATTCTATAATATAACCTTGCTATTTTTACCGTGCGCCGTAGGACCGTACCCTGTGCACATTTAAGCATAATAAAATCTTTATTTTTGTCTATATATTATCAAAAACATAATGATGCACTTAAATATGATGAATAAACATTTACTGAAAATTTCAGCTTTGTGCGCCCATTACCTTTCAAGAAAAACGCTTTGGACAACCCTCGTATGTTTATAAGGAAAATGACATTAAGTTTTTATATAAGTTTACTCCGCTTTATTTTTTCAATAGTTAAATTGCCAGTCTTGCTGACATTGGGAAAGTCTTCCCCATTTATATCCCAACAGAAATTGATCATTACTATTTACTGTTTGCGAATATATTCTAGCCCCCTTTTATTAAATTTTTATATTGTATAGCTTAAAATAAAAAAGAAAAAAACTTGAAATTTTATGAATATACTATTTATTTCCGTGAAGTTCTTCAGTCAGCTTTGTAAGAGATTATTTATTGCACAAGGAACAAAACTTTGTTCTAAACAAGATACTAGCAGATATAAAAAAAAAATTCACTCAAACACCTCTGTTTCACAAACAACATGCCTACCATATATCACTCACAAAATATTTACTACAAATCTCCAGACATGTAAAAGAAAGTACAAAAGTCAAACTCAATGAACTTGTACATGTATATCGAAAAAAAGAATCAAATATACCGTATAAGTGGAAATTTTAGCGAGACACAAATTTAGGGATTTGTCCTTAAAAACTGGTAATTTATTTTTAGCGAGATGTTATTTTAGCGATTTTAAAATGCACATTAAAGAAGCTATTACAAATAAAACGCAATTAATTTTTAGCGATATTCAATTTTAGCGATCTCAGCACCATTGCTAATAATGCCAAAATTAAATCCTCGCTAAAAATTCTACTTATAAGGTATCTGAAACTTGTAAAAATGTTCATAGTGGCTAACTATTTTTTAAAAATGCACATGTATAATAATGATCTGTTCATATTATTTTTTCTGAATATTTAAAAAAACTATCTTTGAAGAAGATATGACCAGAAAGCAAAGTATAATGATTCAGTAACCTGGAACGAAAAATTGATATCACATCCTCAACAAAGAATAAGGTACTGTGAAATCACTAATTTTCGTGAGGGTTTAATTTCAGTGGTTTTTGAGGTATGAAGAGACCCATGAATTTATGTCCACCATGAAATGCAAAATATTATCACTCAACAATTTTTCATCCACCAAAAAAAAATTCCCATGAACCCCTAATTCTTTCTCAAACCCTGAAAATTTGAACCCACAAAAATATGTGATTTTACAGTATTCAATCCAAAAATGTCAAGGTCAAGACCAAGGTCAACATTAGAATTATTTATAACATCTCTGGTTTACGTACTAGTGAACTTGCAAGATTATACTTTGAAAAAAAAAGACAATGACATCAGAATCATGAAGTTAATGATGTGGAAAGATGGTCAAACAAACATGATCAATCTTTTTATCAGATACATATATTGCTTGCAAACTGACTAACAATTACGTAATAACACAAAATCATGACAATATTCTTTGTCACAAAAAATTATAAACATATGTAAAAACAGCACTCTCTTCTTCCATTTTTACAATAAGAAAACTATTCAAAGCACTCTTACTAAGAAAATATTTTGCATCCGACTTTCAAAGAAGTCCATAAACATCTTTATACACATGTAACTGTCTTGGACAAAAACTACAACTACACATGACTTTACTTTCCTCATACACAATTAATTATCTTCATTATCAAGGTGGGAATGTACAAACACACAATTTCAAAAAAAAAAAATAGCAAATTGAGATCACCTTTTTTCTTAGTCTAGACTACAGTGTACTATACACCAGAACATCAGCCAGTTAGGTAACATAAGGAAAGAAAATAAACCAAACATCCAGCTGCCGAAGAAATATTTGTCGATGATTGTGAGAAATATGTTGGTCTTCATGAAACTCCAGGAATTGCCCAGGAAGTCTAGGAAGTCTTTGTGTTTTTCTCCATAACTTGTTATCACTGAGGCTATAAATAGTAACACAGCTGGGAACACTAAGAAAAGCAAAGCTTTCTGCAGCCAACGCAGTAGACTGTAAATACATTAAAAAATGAACAAACGTAAAAATCTTCATATTTTCGGAATATCCCCAAAAAAAAAAAAAGAATTAAGACTCGTTTGAAATGTACTTTGTCAAAGTATTTTTTCCTATGAAACTACACTAAAACATGGAACATGCATATTCATATATTAAATTTTATCAAAATAGAATTTTCTTTAGTAATTTCCATAATTAATAAGACCTAGCCAAAAAGAGAAGCACGTTTTTCAGTATGACATGTACTCCTACAAGCATGAGTCTCATTTAAAGTCCTTATATATATAAATATATGGCGTTAAGTCAAAATTATCTCGCATGAACCTCTCGTCTAGCATGCTGGATTATATGAATATTTTACCTGCTTTTTGTTGGCTGAGCTATAACTGTGATGGGAACAAGGACAACAGCTAGAAAGAAGGCCAGGGAAATGTTCATCAAAGAAATAGAGAACAGAACCAGTGATTGGAAGAGCAGAGTGACACACTTCAGTAACCTCCAATCAAAAATCAGCTTCTTACTGGCTCCTGGCTGCTTCCTGTAAAAAAAAACAATGCTTAAAATGAAATTATTTCAAGAATATCGTATATTAACAAAGATACTTTCCAAGTTTAAGATTTTGAAATACACATCATGTGGCTAGAAATCTTGATGCACAAACCTGCTTATAAGTCTAGGGACCATCAGAGAAGCTGTGTACAGAGCCATAAGTCCAAAGCTGATGTTGTCCTCCATTTTGATTCTGAAGGGTGGGGCTGACATGGTGATAAGGTCGGGTCCAGTGTAAGAGAACACCCCCATCATCACACTGATCAATATTACAGGCATGATAGAGATCAACCCCTCAGATGAGGCCTCCTGAAATGATAAAAAATATTCTTTTAATTTCAGCTATTAAAGCTACAGTTTATCAAAGATAAACAAAATCCAATTTTATATCCCTTTTGAATGAATAATTCTTCGTTAAAATTGCCTTTAGAAAACCTAATGTCAAGGAAATCCAGTTTGGAGCATTCTCTATCCAGAGTTATCGTTCCCGCTTCGCTCCCACATTCACCTCTGTCAACGCTTGTTAATACAATGTACAAGATTCTTGGAAAAATTGTATTTGTAAATGATTAAAAGTTGCATTAATATTAAATCTTTGTTAATTAAATTTCTTATCGGAAAAAATTGTTTATTTTAATAAAAAATAACACCTTATAGGGACTTTTTAATTATGATTTTAATTTTTACTCCACAAAATAGTTCCTTAAAAACTTTGAAAATAAGTCGTTTTGAGGGGTTATAGATTTAAAATGAATAATAAGTTATCATCTTTATCGATAATTACAATAACTAATTATTATTAAAATTTTGAATCTTCAACATTTAAAATTTGTACAAGAATCTTGTACAACGAGCGTTGACAGAGGTGTTGTGAGCGTAGCGGAAGATAACTCTGGATAGAGAATGCAATTTGGAGTTGTATTCTACTTTTTTAAGGGAAGGTAACTTCTTCAAACACTGTTCGTCATCACATATGGAGACTAAAAATTGCCTTTTGGCTAATTTGGTTAAAATTTGTTCTGGAGTTCTGGAGTAGAGGAATTGCCAAGGAAGCACAAAAGACAAGGGACATAACTCTCTGTTTTGATCATGTGACTTCCTACCTCCTCTACAGCCTCATCCATCACTGTCTTCCTCAGTTCCTCCACCTCCTTCTCCAGGGCCTTCGCCTCTCTCTCTGCCTGGTCACTCTCTTCTTCCTCTTCCTCCTTCTTCTCTTCCTCAGACTTCTTTTCTTCTTCTTCAGATTCCTTATCCTTCTTTAGTGTCACCCAAATAGCAATGGCTTGAATGCGTTAAGAATCATAATTTTTTTTTCCAGTCAAAAAACTTAGTACTTCATATTCTTGTTTATTGCAAAAATATTTTAAGCCTAAATCTTAAAGCTAAATTAGACAAATGTTATATTACATGAATGGAGAATATACCACAAAAATAAAACCCATGAGTAAGGATATTTTGATGAGACCTGCTGCACATATCAAACCAAATAGTGGCATGTACATTCCAATAGAGACATAGTTTCTGGTGCCAGGGAGAATGTAGAAGAAGAATGATTGGTGAAATCTTTCTAAAAGATTGTTTAAACTTCTAAATATTCCCTCCAGAATTCTGAAAGAAACATGAAATACATTTAATTATAATATCAAGTGGGTATATTATACAATTATGGACTTCACAGGGTTCGACACTAACGGTGGACCGGCGGCCCGAGTCCACCAAAAAATTGGAAGGTCCACCAAACGTTCAGGGCTAGGTGGACCATCGGTCCACTTAAAATTCGAACACCGTATTTAAAAAAAATTGAAATTCCAGGGTTATTTTTTCCTTTAAATCTAAATTTAGTCCTAACTCAAATTATTAATTCCTCCGTACCTGTATTTTACAAGGAATAAATATACATGTAATAATGTATTAGGTAATCAGGGGGACCTAGCAACTCGATATATTTTACATGAAAAACTGATAATTCCAATAGTAAAAATAATATTGAGACGCAAGAACATTCAACACGGACCTTGAATAAGAAGCATGAAAAATCCGTGCTAAATTACCACTGTTTACGTAATACACAGAAAGGTGTGAAAATTATGCTGGGTAACAGGAAATCGCTTCACGCCTGAACGCACAAAGTCGAGATAATTAGAATTGATTGACAGCTGCATTTATGCATCTTTTTTTTGTTGGTGTTTTTTAGATGTTCAAACAGGCGTAATTTACATTTAATGAACTATTATCTGCAGTTTCATTTTTTCTCTTGATATACATTATATCACTTCTTATTTGAATAAATAATAAATTCAGAAAATAATTAATCAATACACATACATGTACCTATGTCAGTTTTGCATCTTAGTAAAAAATGATCTAGCCATAGAATAGATACATGAAAAACTCACTTATTTGATATTTGAACAAATTGATTAATAATAAAATTGGAAATTAGCAATTTTAAATTTAATCTACCTTTGGAAGCGAAATAAATGCAGGTTTTCAACATTGTAACTTAATGATAATTAAAATATTTGTTTGGTTTGTAGGTTAATACGTTTTTTAATAAGTTTTACAATATTTCTGAAAAAAAATCTGACTAGTCCCTAATAGATTTGATTCTGTTGACTGGGTTATATTTGTGCTTTATTAACCTGACTGGGATCGGTATATATAAAAGTTAGTTTTAATTAATGCCTTGTGTAATGATTCATTCATTAATTCAAACATTTATTAAGGTCCACCAGATATTGAGAAGGTCCACCAATAATTTTTGACAAGTGGACCCGCGGTCCACCAAGGTAAAAAAGTTAGTGTCGAACCCTGCTTCAGTGTAGGTCAATATGTGGTTATAAGGACTCATGGCAATTGATACTGACCGAAGACACAGGAAGTGATAGTGATCGAGCCTGCGAGGTCCCTATCATTTTCTGTGTCTGAGGCCAATATCAATATTGCCATGAGTCCTTATAACCACATATCGACTGTTTGCTGAAGTCCATAATAGTTATATTATATAATCATTCAGACTGAATGACTGACACAGTCCTAACTGAACAGACTCAGCTGTCATTACGTCACAATGGTTAAAACACGCTTCTTATATTATGACCTTACGTTCTACGTAACTTTGGTGCAACCGAACGGTGTGTCATGTGATATTATTTTCAGCGGATGTACTTTCGCGTCAACATCACAAAAGGAGGAATATCACGAGACGTTCTTTCAGCCAATGAAAATTACGAAAATAATCTTCTTATATAATATAATGTATTAAAGTGTACATTCATGCAAATATTGAGAAATTACGGCAAGATTTTGAATATACTGTTATTGTAGACATTTCTCAAAAGTAGGTTTCCACAAACAGAATTTAATATCTGTCAATAAAGAATGTTTTACAGAACTCTGTTAATCCATGTTATAAATCTCATTTATAATGTACTAGTATTCAAAAGCATCTATTGACAGTCATTATAAAACTCAGAATGCTATTTTTTTCTTCAGAAAATTTCACTACAAACCTTCCTGTTCTCTCCAGGGGATAAGCAAAGTTACTGTTCTTCCTCCTGATTCCTTGCAAGGTCACAGCCTCTATGTGGTATTTATGGAAGAGTCCATGATTGCCTGAGGGGGTGCCAGCTGCCTGGGACCACATCATCTCCAGCATGGTCTTCACACTCTGCATGTAACCTTCTAGAGTCTGTGGATCCATTGGGTCATTCTATTAATAAAGAAAAATTGATTCATGTTTTATTATTTTTATGATGCACAATAACAGATCCTTTTTAATAATTTTCGGGTATGGTTCTAAAACTGACTGAATATAATCAAATGATGTCATTGATGTCAAATATTTTCCCTGTACTTTAAATCCCCCTTTGAACTCTTCATTTTCTAAAAGCTTTTCTTGGAAATACTACATTGTATATGTATTGATAATGTCCTACATGAACTTACATTTCTGTGAAATGTAACATCTACTCCTTCCTGGTTGCAGATTCTTACAACAAGATTAAACAGATCAAGATTTGGTAGCTGACCATTCATGCCCTCAATCTTGACATCAAAATAGCGGATATTCCCATCTGGAATTTCCAGGTTAATGGCAGCTTGGATAGCTCCACTCCTCCCCATCACATCACTTGGTACTATATCTGTAAAGACACAGGAATAAAAGGCTAGTCATACTACATCAGCATATGGGAAATCATAGGACATCAGAATGAGACTTTGTTTTTAATGTGTTTTTAAAGATTTTTTTCATACATACAATCAGCCTTAATGTCATGATAGCCATCCAGCCAAGCCTGCAATCCTATCTGCTCATGGTCAGATACCAGGAAAATGATGTCCTTGGACCAGTATGTTTGTCCTAACATAAATATACAATATTTGCTATGTAGTGCACATGTTTTTATCTGCAATGTTTAACCTTCAGTTGAAATTACATTGTCCTTTTTTTTAATGTTTATAAAAAACAAGAGGCCCATGGGCCTTATAGGTCACCTGAGCATTATGCAAAAGCTTTCCAGTGACTGAATTTGATTCATGTTTTAAGCCAGATTCTATAGCATTCACAATTTTGAAAGAGGAACCATTGATCATTATAACAATACATTTAGCAGTTGCTTAGTTTGGTTACTTAATACCCAAAGGCAGGGTAGGGGAGCAAAAAATGCATGTCAACTAATCAGTGTATAAGTGCCCCTTTCACACATGAACCCCTGACCCTTAGGCCTAAATCCACACATTGCACAATTTTTAAAAAGGCATCCTTGCTTTTCAAAAATATTTGTTTAATACAAAGGAGCAGATTTCAAACAATTCATTCATTTTCACTATATAAGTAACACCCCCCCCCCCCCCGTCTATGGTACCCCTGACCCAGGGGCCTTGAAATTCACAATTCTGGAAGATTAGAACCCTTGTTCATCATAACTATATAGGTATGTTCACCTGCATAATACCTAGGAGCAGAAAGGAAAATTTTCAAAGAATTCATGTATTTTCACTATAATATCAATAGAGCCCCGCCCAAACACCAGAAACCCGACCCTGGGGCCATAAAATTCACAATTTTGGAAGAGGCATTCTTGTTCATCATTACTATATACTTAGTTAGTTTATTTAATACCTAGGAGCAGAGAAAAAAATTAAAGAATCCATGTATTTTCACTATATAATCAATAGAGCCCCAGCCTAACACCAGAACCCCTGACCCTGGGGCCATAAAATTCACAAATTTTGTAAAGGCACTCTTGCTCATCATAACTATGCACTTACTTAGTTTATTTAATTAATACGTAGGAGCAGAGAAGAATATTTTCAAAGAATTCATGTATTTTCACTATATAATCTATAGAGCCCCGCCCTAACACCAGAACCCCTGACTCTGGGGCCATAAAATTCACAATTTTGGTAGAGGCACCCTTGCTCATAATAACTATGCACTTAGTTTATTTATTTAATACCTAGGAACAGAGAAGAAGATTTTCAAAGAATTTATGTATTTTCACTATATAATCTATAGAGCCCCGCCCTAACACCAGAACCCCTGACTCTGGGGCCATAAAATTCACAATTTTGGTAGAGGCACCCTTGCTCATAATAACTATGCACTTAGTTTATTTATTTAATACCTAGGAACAGAGAAGAAGATTTTCAAAGAATTTATGTATTTTCAGTATTTTCACTATATAATCTATAGAGCCCCACCCTAACACCAGAACCCCTGACCCTGGGGCCATAAAATTCACAATTTTTGTAGAGGCACTCTTGCTCATTATAACTATGCACTTACTTAGTTTATTAAATACCTAGGAACAGAGAAGAAGATTTTTAAAGAAATAATGCATTTTCACTATATAATCAATAGAGCCCCACCCTAACACCAGAACCCCTGACCCTGGGACCATAAAATTCACAATTTTTGTAGAGGCACTCTTGCTCATCATAACTATGCACTTACTTAGTTTATTAAATACCTAGGAACAGAGAAGAAGATTTTCAAAGAATTCATGTATTTTCACTATATAATCTATAGAGCCCCGCCCTAACACCAGAACCCCTGACCCTGGGGCCATAAAATTCACAATTTTGGTAGAGGCACCCTTGCTCATAATAACTATACACTTAGTTTATTTATTTAATACCTAGGAACAGAGAAGAAGATTTTCAAAGAATTCATGTATTTTCACTATATAATCTATAGAGCCCCACCCTAACACCAGAACCCCTGACCCTGGGGCCATAAAATTCACAATTTTTGTAGAGGCACTCTTGCTCATCATAACTATGCACTTACTTAGTTTATTTAATACCTAGGAACAGAGGAGAAGATTTTCAAAGAATTCATGTATTTTCACTATATAATCTATAGAGCCCCACCCTAACACCAGAACCCCTGACACTGGGGCCATTAAATTCCCAATTTTGGTAGAGGCACTCTTGCTCATTATAACTATGCACTTAGTTGGGTTATTTAATACCCAGGAGCAGAGAAGAAGATTTTCAAAGAAATAATGCATTTTTACTATATACTTATTTAGCACCGCCCTAGCACTAGAACCCTTGACCCCAGGGCCATGAATTTCACAATTTTGGTAGAGGACTCAATGCTGATTACAATTATGCTAACAGTTTGACTGCTTGATGTCCAGGGAGTAAAGAAGAAGATTTTCAAAGATTGCACTAATTTTAGTGGTTTTGGCCCCACCCCTCAGGCCCCAGGGGGGCAGGGATCATGAAATTCACAATTTTTGTCCCCCTTCACCCATAGATACTTTGTGCCAAATTTGGTTGAAATTGGTTCACTGGTTGCAGAGAAGAAGCTGAAAATGTTCAAATGTTAACGGACGATGCACGACGCACAGACGCACGACGACGGACGAAAACAGATAGCAATAGGTCACCTGAGTTTACTCAGGTGACCTAAAAAAAAACCCAACCATACAACATATCAATCCTCAGATTTTACCAGGATAATAATAAACACTTACTTCTGAAGTACTGAGCCATGGCCATCATCAGTACAATCCCTCCCGTGGTGGAGGAGAGGTCGGAATCTTTGGGACGCATTGGGGTAGACATGACAATGGCTTCTGTGCTGGCCGCTCGCTTAGCTCGCAAGATTCCATATACATTCTGTCCTGGAATGTTCTAAAGTTAAAGGGTATAGAAATATATTTCAATGCAATATTCAGATACCATTAACTTTTTTTCTGTATTGTGAGTTCATCTGAAATGTTTCAAATGTTTCTGATCAGCTTCTCTCCATACTTCTTTATGGGAAAAGTAAACCAGAGACACTTGACTAGCAAAGATATATTTTCATTAATGCATGTATTTGAGTCTTGACAAATTTGAAACTAGAAATATGTCCATAGGACATGAATGTCCCGCCGAGGGTTTATTAGTAATGCAACATGAAAATTTGTATTAGTGTATGAAATTTGATCAGAATATCTTGAATAGCGATGCAGTTGAATTGCTTACATCAGTGTGTATCAGCATATGAAGTTTGACCCTATATTCATTAAAATGAGGTCAAGGTCAAAGGAAATGCCAAAGTCAAAAACTGTTGATGCAGTTGAAAAGCTCTCATCAGTATTTTTTAGCATATGAAGTTGAAAAAAAATTAAAACATTTTGATAAAAGTGAGGTCAAGGTCAAATGAAAGGTCAAGTTCAAAATTGTTGATGCAGTTGAATTGCTTACATCAGTATGTATCAGCATATGAAGTTTGACACTGATTTAGGAAAAGTGAGATCAAGGTCAAATGAAAAGTCAAGGTCAAAATTGTTGATGCAGTTGAATTGCTTACATCAGTATGTATCCGCACACAGGAGTTCGCGTACCTATCAATTTTGCCGAAATTTTCGGTATAAAATAAAGAAGATACGTAATACCTATAATAAAAACACAAGGAGTGCAACCGTTGTCCGCGACGCCATGACGTGACGTCACGGGCGGTCCATTTACCAAAAAGGAACAAAAAAACCAATCATACACAATTAACTAGAGATAACGATATTACGTTTAGATACGAGTACAAGTACTTGTACCTCCCCGTTTTAAATTTTCTTGAATGTCTACTAACTTGTCTCTGGTTTCTTTTCGCACATGACCTCAATCATCTAGATTAGCATTTCAGGCAGTTTTGTTCCTTTTTGGGTATATGGACGCGCCCGTGACGTCATGTCATGGCGTCGCAGACAACGGATATTTGAGCAAAGTTGTGGAGAAATGTCATCGCTGCTGCTGTAAAACATGCGTTTGAAATCATGTGCATTAAGAGCCATAAAGAATGGTCCCTTCCAAAATGATTGGTTTGTGTTTTATAATTTTCGATTGAAGATTAATTGTGTGACAGCCTTGATATTAAGCGAGGGGTTCCCAGGTGACCTAAAATGCGTTGCACTCCTTGTGTTATTATTATACGTATTACGTATTTGTTTATTTAATGAAAATTTCGGTATAATTGATAGGTACGCGAACTCTTGTGATCAGCATATGAAGTTTGACACTGATTTAGGAAAAGTGAGGTCAAGGTCAAAGGAAAGGTCAAGGTCAAAAATGTTGATGCAGTTGCATATCTCTCATCAATATGTATCAACATATGAAGTTCAATAAAAATATCTAGAAATGATGTCTTTAATTAAAATTGGCTTAACCTTCAATTTGATAGTGAGGTTGAGATCAAATAAAAGGTCAAGGTCAAAATTGTTGATGCAGTTGAATTGCTTACATCAGTATGTATCAGCATATGAAGTTTGACACTGATTTAGGAAAAGTGAGGTCAAGGTCAAAGGAAAGGTCAAGGTCAAAAATGTTGATGCAGTTGCATATCTCTCATCAATATGTATCAACTAGGGATGTCAAATCGGTCAATTTTTAATACTCGGTTACTCGGACGTTTTTCCGATCGAGTACCCGGGTACTCCGTAAAAATATAAATAAATAAGAACAAGTACTGTAACATTGATAAAACATTGTAAACTCTTGTAGAAATAAAACCACATGCTCCGAGGTTTACCCGTAAATCTGATGAAATAATTATGAACACTTCATGCCGGATGAAATTTAATATAACATTTTATTTTAAGTTCAATTTATCATCAGATAAGCATAAGGAATAAAAGTATAAATGGTTCACAGTTTATTTTTTTTTAAATAATCTGATCAGTCGTCAGAACTACAGTATCAACTTGATCAAGTTCTCCTATAATAGAGCGGATTAACGATCTTCGTACATTTTTCGATCCTATATTTTACAGTATTACGGGACAGTATGTTGTAGTTTGATGCAACGATGGACATCAGTTTTTTAAAGCCTTTGCCTCCAACCATTTGAAGTAATTGGCATGTAATCAAACACAACCATATCAACAATCACATGTAATATCATCTGTCTCTTTTCTCGAAAATTTATGGCTTCTTGGAGAATTGACAAAATTGTCTAATTTATTTAAACATGATAGACCTTAAACGATATTCAGTGAAAACAAATCATTAAAGCAAACAAAAAATAAGGGTAGAAGACAGTCGAAGGTGAGAAAAGCCGGGTACCAGGCGCTTGGTCACGATAATTACTGTATAAACACTGCCACGGGCGACAACGGTCATCATTTAGAGGAAAACCATAATTACTGTATGTACACATGCAATGAACATTTTACGTTTTAAAACCGATGTTTTAATGCATTAATAAATGAGTTTAGAAACATTCAAAAATATACGTCCGAGTAACTGAGTACCGATTTTAGTATTCGATACTCGGACGTTCGATCGAGTACCCGGTTAACTTGATACTCACTGACATCTTTAGTATCAACATATGAAGTTCGATAAAAATATCTAGAATTGAAGTCACACTGATTTAGGAAAAGTGCGGTCAAGGTCAAAGAAAAGGTCAAGGTCTAAACTGTTGATGCAGTTGAATTGCTCTCATCAATGTGTAGCAGCATATGAAGTTTGATAAAAATATCTTGAATGGTATCTTTAAAACTGGGCAAAACACTAATTAAAGATAAGTGAGGTCATGGTCAAAGGAAAGGTCAAGGTCAAAAATGTTGATGCAGTTGAATAGCTCTCATCAGTATGTATCAACATGTGAAGTTTGATAACACCATCTTGAATGGTATGTTTAAAACTGAGCTAAACACTAATTTAAGAAAAGTGATGTCAAGGACAAAGGAAAGGTGAAGGTCAAAAAATGTTGATGCAGTTGCATAGCTCTCATCAATATCTATCAGCATATGAAGTTTGATGAAAATATCTTGGATAGTTTCTTTGAAACTTAGCTTTGAACAGAGCTAAACACAAAGTGTGACGGAAGGACAGACGGAAGGACAGAAGGACGGAAGACGGACATAACAAACACTATATGCCCCGGCCATATTCATGGCGAGGCATAAAAATAATTCTTTTAAAATTTGTTCATTCATGAAATGTTCTATAGACTGCAGGGCTTAGTAATCAAACGTTAAAAATAGAGACTAATGTTTACCTGTCCTTTTGCAATGTCCAGTGGATATTTTATAGAGTAATTCTGTATATAAGTGTCTAATCCTATTTCTCTGAAGTGATTGTAAATCCATTCTCTGGGAACTTTCCTATAATGAAGCAATTGTTATTTTCTTTTGAATTTCTAAATATTAAAGAACTATTTATCTTAATAATTGCACAAAGAAATCTAACAAAATGCTAATTGAAACTCATTATTTAAACACTATATTTTTTTGAATTCCTATTAATCTTAAGGTAGGATTCTTCTCTGGTTTCTGACTAGATGGAATATTCAAAGTACATTTGTTGATATGTCTTATATATTTAGATGTAAGAGATTTAAAAGACCATATTTTTCTTTCCTCATCACAATTATACAACTTTGAATAGAAGTGGTAAACTGCCTATGAAAATTAGCAGGGACTATATTTTTGGCGTAATGGTGGCGTATGAAAATATCTTCTTTTCTGCCTCTCAAAATTATTATAGAACATTGAATTTACTTATAATTTTTACGCAATCAAAGACTAGAGGAAATTTTCAAATGTAAGTTAAATTAATAATAAGGGACTAAAGTTTCCAAACATATCAAATAAATAAGATTTTTCACACATGCTAGAACTATGTTGGCTTTTAAATGCTTCAAATCTAAGCACAGATTTGAGCCAAAAATCCGTAAAAAGTGTTATTTCTCTCTTAGTAAACGATCAAAACTTTTAGTTTTTGTATCATTTTGTACCTTTATGTGACAACTTTACTATATGTGAAAATTGGAAAAAGTTAAATATAGGAAGCATATAAAAATAACTAATAAATCCAAGAAATTTTAGAAAAGTAGAGGAAATTCGGATTAGCAAATATCCATTTTATTTAAATTATCCATGTCAATTTGGTAATATCATCTTATAGGCCCTATATGGTAGTATCTTTTTATGCAAAAAAGGAAAACATTCAATCTTTTGAATTACAAGTAGGGATCGCGTAATTGGAAACAACAATTTTTTATTCTTAATGTCCAGGAAAAAGGTAATGACCTTGACCTGACCTTGCCTCTAATATTAAACAGTCAAATTTTATTTCACTGATACCATCACTTAGTGATATTGTCCTCTTGATTCTGTGAAAATTTCATTAATTTTTAAATACAAGAAAATGTGAGAAGAATCCTACCTTCAAGGTGAAATAAATCAAATCATACAAGATAGTGTGATGAGTATTACCATCTCCTAAATCAGACTTACCTCTTGTCCTTGTTAAACTCTTCTTTAAGCTCAGATGCTAGAGCATTCAAGTTCATCTCTGCATAGAATTCAGTTGTAACCAATCCTAAATTATAGAATAAAGTTTTATTGGTATTCTGAATTCAGTAGTAAACATGTCCTCAAGAATTCCTATTCTGATTTTCATCATATTTGTTACTTAATAATAAGTAGAAAAAAATATAAGATAAGTACCATCTTGCAATATTTGTTTTATTGTATTCAATTTTACACTTATTATGAGTAAACAAAATAAAAATAAATCGTTGGATTGGGTAAAATGCATGTAATAAAGCCTACACATAATAGAATTCACATGTAAATTGTAGCATCTATATAGAAATGTATTCTACAGTATTTCAGTGACTTACCAGGTAACAAAGCATTTTCAGAGAAGTATGTGGCTCCATTGAATGGCTGGTAAGCCAATGCCAGAAAGCCAGTAACTCCAGCAACATAGCACAGCACACACAGTATGTTGTTGTACTTGGAAATAACATCCACAATCTTCTTCTGACGTTTAGGGTCAGTCAGCAAACCCATGATGTTCTTCTGAGAAAAAAATATAAATTAGTGTTTTATGCAATTTATGTGAGTGATCAGTATATGTTTATGTGAGTGATCAATACTGGTATGTTTATTTTACAGTCCATTCCATTCCTCACACTTAACTCTTTACAACTTACTAAAATGTGACGCAACATACACTTAATGTTCATGTCATACAAATATGACTTACCTTTTCCCCGCAAGCACCTTATAGCCCGGTACAAGTTTCTCTAAAATTTAGCATAAATAATTGAGATGTAATATTTTCATAAGATTATAATTTTTTTATTTTATGAGATTTTAGCAAGTATAAAATGAAAAGGCATTAAATTGAAAATTAAATTTATTTTTTAAAGTGCGTGAAAAATGTGTGATTGAGGGGAAATGGTATATGTGTGATTTTGCGTTAGAAATGGGAAAATGGTATATGCGTTAAAGTGCGTGACTGCAGGGAAGGGGGGTTAACAAACTTCGTTACCCCCCCCTCCCATAATTAGTGACACAACTGTAGCTCTCTGAAATAAAAATTCTGACATCCATAGCTGAAATCTGAATGATCACAATAAAGCTGGGCTAATTAAAAAAAAACATCTGACTTATACATACTCCCCCCCCCAAAAAAAAAAGATTTGTTAAATTTAAAGAGGCACATGGCCCATAACACTCTTGTCATAATTATTATCCAGCATAAATGCATCCCATTTGGCATGCTACAAACTTGAAAATCATAAGCAAAAGTAACCCTCAGAATTCTACATAGAAAATAGAATGATCTACCGTGAAACACTATTTTCTTATTGTAGAAACTTTTTGTGGGTAAATCAAACACCATGTCTGATAAGAATGATTATTCAAAAGATCTGAGATGGTAAGTGGACAAAAGAAATGGAAATAGTTAAATTAAAAGTTGAAGCAAAGGAAGAGTACAATTGCATCCTCCCCTGTGTCCTATTGGGGGTTTACACATATGTATTTTTTAATAGCGGGTGCAGCGAGCAGCACGAAGCGCTGCTCACCCTGCAAGCTCTAAATCTAATGAAAAGGCCTGGGTGAATAACAAAAAAAGTTCAGCAAATCAACAAGAGGCCCATGGGCCACATCGCTCACCTGAGCACTAAGGGTAGGAAAAAGTAGAAAATGGCTTTTTATCGTAAAGTTTAAATCCAAAAGTAGTCCCATGACCAATCATGGATTTGCTATTTTTTAGAAAATGATTTTTAAAGAATTTTCCTATATATATCTTTAAAAACTTTGGTCGGCCATTTTGGCCCCGCCCTACACCTGGGGGTCATGATTTGAACAAATTTGAATCTACACTACTTGAGCATGCTTCCATATAAATATGATGAATTATGGCTTTGTCATTCTTGAGAAGATGTTTAAAGAATTTTCCTATATATTTCTATGTACCGGGTAAAACTTTGGTCGGCCATTTTGGCCCCGCCCTATCCCCGGGGGTCATGGTTTGAACAAACTTGAATCTACACTACCTGAGCATGCTTCCATATAAATATGATTAATTATGGCTTTGTCATTCTTGAGCAGAAGATTTTTAAAGAATTTTCCTATATATTTCTATGTAAAACTTTGGTCGGCCATTTTGACCCCGCCCTATCCCCGGGGGTCATGATTTGAACAAACTTGAATCTACACTACCTGAGCATGCTTCCATATAAATATGATGAATTATGGCTTTGTCATTCTTGAGAAGAAGATTTTTAAAGAATTTTCCTATATATTTCTATGTAAAACTTTGGTCGGCCATTTTGGCCCCGCCCTACCCCCGGGGGTAATGATTTGAACAAATTTAAATCTACACTACCTGACGATGTTTCCTCATCAGTTTCATCTTTCCTGGGACTGTGGTCCTTGAGAAGAAGATTTTTAAAATCTGCCACCAAATTTTCATTAATTCCCAATTATCTCCCCTTGAGTAAGGGTGTGGCCCTTCATTTGAACAAACTTGAATCCCCTTCACCCAAGGATACTTTGTGGCAAGTTTGGTTGAAATTGGCCCAGCGGTTCTTGAGAAGAAGTCGAAAATGTGAAAAGTTTACAGACAGACGGACAGCTAGACAGACAGACGGACGCCGGACAAAATGTGATCAGAAAAGCTCACTTGAGCTTTCAGCTCAGGTGAGCTAAAAAGTCGCTTTGATTTAATGGATACATTGCAGATGAATATTAAACAAGAGGCCCAGGGGCCACATCACTCACCTGAGCAACTGGCTAGGTAAAAGCAAATGTAAAAACTTGATCACCCATTGTGGCCACACCCTTGCCCAAGGGTTTATGATTTGAACAAAATTGCATTTTCCCTTTCAGAAAATGCTTCTGCATGAGTTTCATCTTTCATGGCCAGGGAATCTTGAGAAGATTTTTCCCATTATTCCTATGTTAAACTTTGATACCCCACTGTGGCCCCACCCTACCCCCCGGGTCATGATTTGAACAAACTTGAATCTTTGAAACCTGAGGATGATTCCACATGAGTTTCATCTTTTCTGGCCCAGTGGTCCTGGAGAAGAAGATTTTTAAAGATTTCCCCCATGTATTCCTATGTTAAACTTTGATACCCCATTGTGGCCCCACCCTACCTCAGGGGTCATGATTTGAACAAACTTGAATCTTCGCAACCTGAGGATGATTCCACATGAGTTTCATCTTTCCTGGCCCAGTGGTTCTGGAGAAGAAGATTTTAAAAGATTTTCCCCATGTATTCCTATGTTGAATTTTGACACCCCATTGTGGCCCCACCCTACCCTAGGGGTCATGATTTGAACAAACTTGAATCTACACTACCTGAGGATGATTCCACATGAGTTTCATCTTTCCTGGCCCAGTGGTTCTGGAGTGGAGAAGAAGATTTTTAAAGATTTTTCCTATATATTCCTATGTAACCCTTTGATCAGCCATTGTGGCCCCACCCTACCCCTGTGAGTCATGATTTGAAATTTTGAACAAACTTGAATCTGCACTACCTGAGGATGCTTCCAAATGAGTTTCATCTTTCCTAGCCCAATGGTTCTGGAGAAGAAGATTTTTAAGAAATACCATAAATTTTTCATAAATTCATAATTATCTCCCCTTGGAAGAGGGCTTGGCCCTTCATTTGAACAAACTTGAATCCCCTTCACCCAAGGATACTTTGTGGCAAGTTTGGTTGAAATTGGCCCAGTGGTTCCCGAGAAGAAGATGAAAATGTGAAAAGTTTACGACGACGACATCGGCAGATAACGAAATCATTTAATTTCTATAAAATACTTAATTCTGATTGGATAAAAAATTCTTTTGATAACTGCATCAATAAAATCTAGAGTTCGCTTGCACTAAGCAGCCGGAACTACTTTGGCAGTCTTTACATGTACATTCCCGCTTCCAGATTACTTTTGGAAGGAATAATTTAAATACTTTTACTTTAATAAATATTTTCCTGAATTTCGGAACCTGTCCGTTACGTTCCTGACTTATTTTCTACTTTCGTTTCATTTTGAATTATCCCCCTTTGCTAAACAAATCAAATCGTCTGCATGACGACAATACAGTTATGGGAAAGAAGGGAAGAAATCGTTTAATCGGCATATTCTTCTTAAATGTTTGACTTTGAAATATCTGGTATGAAACAATAGAACTCTGAAAAAATGTTTTATTATGCTACCAAAGCGGGGGAAACCGTAAATCTGTTAAATCGTGGGAAACGAATGATCGAGAAAAACGACACTGAATTCTTTTAATCTTGAACGGTCGGCAGCAGAATCTTTCAGGTTTTACAGCATTGACAGGTTGTGATTCTTACTTACAATTTTACATATTCGGTTTGAAATTCAGATGGAAAGATGCGCAAATGAAATCCAAAATTTCTGTGACCGAGAACTGTTAGGATATTTGAGTAGCTTCCTGTTATATTTACGAACTAAGATAACTTACCGGGAAAAATATACCCAGAGGGATAACACAACAGGTAAGTTTCTGTGTTTAAGAACTGTAAATTATTTCGGAGAATGTTGGTTATCACACGACAATATTTGAGAACGTTTTTTTTGTTAGCATGGTTAGAGCCATTTTGAATTTTAAGCAACGTTAACGTTATGGTGATGTATTCGTGCGCATTGTTTTTGATGCGTAAATTTAATAGAAAAGTGAAAGAAACTTTCATTTTATTAATTTAAAATCATAATTAAATGATAAGAAATGAATGTAATATTTTTTTCTTTGATCGATGTATCAAAGAAAAAATTTGGACGGAAAACTTTTTTCCGTCCAAATTTTTTCTTTGATACATCGATCAAAGAAAAAAATATTACATTCATTTCTTAACAAATTTTGATCAGAAAAGCTCACTTGAGCCTTAGGCTCAGGTGAGCTAATAAAATCATTCCTCATTTATAAGTAAACATTGTTCAGGCTACGATTTGGTAATGCAACTAACACACGACATCATATGTGAACAGGTTGGGAACACATCCCCTTTAACGAGATCATCTCGCTAAAGCGCGATTATCCCTCTCTAGCGGGAGAAAATACATCTCGGAAAATCGAGATTTGTACTCCGATTCAAACTGTAATCGTGTTAACTTCTGAAAAAGGAAAATCCGAAAGCAAGTCAACCCATTCGATAAATATTTATTGTCTCATCTCAATAAATTTGCTTCAAAATATTGCCTCTACTGCTGCAAATCATGGAAATCAGAATAACTTTGTGAACAATAGCGTAGCCTTCCTACGGAGGCCCACATGTGATAATTATCAGTACAAATAAACTTACTCCGGTTATATGGTTATTGTAATTGTACGTTTACCTTATTATTTTTTTTAGTACGCCTGCTTGAAAAGCGGGATTGTATACAGAATGATATAGTGATGGGGTCCGTCACTTTGGACTTTCCGTAGGGCATGGCGATCTCGACACGAAGTCTGTTTGGTGAACATAGATTCTCAAATCGCCTGATTGACTGATATTAAGCCCCACCTTATTACTATAAGAAGCGCCCTCATTGGTTCTTCGCTACATTCGTCAGTTTCCAGGATCTTCTAACAGATTATATTAATGCTTCTGTATAGTTTACCCGTGAAATAAAAAAAAAGATAAAAAGTTCAATGTCTGTTTTGAATTCTTGTCCTACATAAATTAATCAACTCTAAAAATTATTTTACCCTATACTATTGCACTGTCTCAGACTTTGCAAGTTATATTAGAAACGTGATATTTTAGACGGCTAGAAATGGTACATGTAGATGGACGGTCAGGTGGGGGGGGGGGGGGGGGGGGGTACTAGGAAAAAATACTGTAGCTAGATTTCTTTAAATGTATAATATACCAAGATTTTAATCAGGCGTGGTAAAAGCTATCGACGTTTAACCATTTTCAAATAACAACCATTTTAACTGAAAGAGTCTTATCGGTGATCAATTAAAGAAGCTTCTAAATATAATAAGGAAGCTATTCATAAATCGCTTGTATAAAAAGGTGACAATAGCATCTCTTATTAACTCAAAAAAACAATTACAAGGCATAATAAAATGTAAAATTCGAAGTATTCCATGCAGTGTTCGTAGATATTCTTTCAAAATAAAGCATACCTATAGCAGTATGCATCCCCGCCAAAATACGGCTGAAATTTTGCCGACTCCGCATTTAACAATAAACAATCTACACTTTTAGCTTTTTTTTATTTTATTGAAATTTTTGGGGCAAATTTTTCAGAAGCCCCCCCCCCTTTAAAATAAAAAATGCCACCTGGTCTGTGTTCTTTCATGTAGCCTTTGTTTTGGAAAGTATCTGATTCCCTATTAAAATTTACACATCAACATATGCAGGATCCCAACATATGTTTCCAACGCAATTAAAGGGTCCTCAAATGAGAAACTGTTCATCGTCACCGGTAAATTAAACATAAGAATTTATTTCATTAAAGTACGAATACCTAAGGCATACTTCTTTAAATTATAACAACATGTTAAAAGCAGTAATTTCAACAATGCAATTTCGCATTTTTGTGTTCTCTAATTTCGTATAGTTATGAAAAGTAATTCAAGGTAACATGTTTTTCACTTTCCACAGGTACATTTCAGTATTAATGAAAAGAAGGGTAAGTGGTAAATGAAAAACAGTCAATGGTCAAATTATCCTCTTTTTTGTCAAGTTTTTTTTTCAAGTTGATTTTTTTATCTTTGAATTAGCCCCCCCCCCTTTTACCAATTTGCTTCCGACGCTGTTGAATCGATTTCCTGAATTTACGTTTACCATGTATCAACATTTAAACTATACGTCAATATCGGTTATAAAGACTCAATATATTTATATTGAGTCTATATAACCGATATTGACGTAGTATATTTGAAATATTTGATCTTTACCTTTTTTTTTTATTAATTTGCTTTTCAATATTCTATTAAATTAATGGTTTTTCACTATTCTGTACATATCTCAATTTATACTTTTTTTAAAAAAAAAAAATCATTACTTTTCCACAAACTTTACAACTCTCTTCTGCTACCGTACTTCTTAGCATCAACCAAAGATCAAATATTTAAGCAAATATCATGGGTTTCCGAAGAGCGTTATTTTTAATTTTTTTACGAGAATGGAAAACTAAGACCCTAACGAATATAATTTAGATATCTATACATATTTCAAATGTTTTAAAAACATATATGGCTGTAAATCTTGAAACCTTTGCTAAAAAAGGCACGATTTTCACGTGAATTTCAGCCTCTTATAATCACACGCAGCAGTGATTGTCTTAAATTTCTAGCCAATAATGTCAGTTTTTTGTAGTAAAATCTCGCTTCAATGCAGCTTTCTCCCGGATTTTCAATACGCACGAGATTTTTGATTATTTTATAACGAAAACAACAAAATTACCATATAAGGTAATGTTTTTTCTTCCGCTAAAGAGGAATAATCGCGCTTTAGCGAGATAATCTCGCTAAAGGGGATGTGTTCCCAACCTGGTGAAGTCAGATTCCACACGTACCAAATGTCACGTGCTGTTGGGACATGCATCCAATCTAAATTAAAACTGAATAAGTGTCTGCGCTCGACTCAACGGTCGTATCGTCAACATATTAGATAATTTTCTATACTTTAGGGCAAGCCCCAAGTGCCGGGTGTAAGCACTTTCGAAATTGAAAAAAAGTAAGCTACACACTTAAAAATACTTGTGTAAAGATTCTAAAAATATCCCAATTAAAAAAAAAATGTTTGTTATACTACCCAAATCCAAAGAAGCGGCTTACTTTTGAAGCTTTTGATGGATAAGAGACAAAAACTGTTTCTCGATCGATAGTGAAGTGTAATATAATCAATGTCAAACAGGCGCTTGAGTTTCGAAGATGGCTAGTCTAAATAACGAAATAGTTGGAGGAACATGTATTTAACCAAAATTCAACTTTTAAAATTATTTATTTCAATGGAGAAGGTTTTCAAAATATTCTCTTAAGAATATTCCATTTAAATACATACTATACATGAGCACCTTTAATGCAGTTCCACTAGCGTAGATTTAAAAATGGTGTTTTTTGACTGTTCAAAACCAACGAAATGGGGTGTAGATTATGAACAGTGATCGTGATAAAAATATGTACACAATGTTTTGTGAAGATGGCATAAACACGGACTCCTGATAAATTCCAGAGATTGAATCGGGTAATACAAAATGCTCTAATATAAACGAGAGAGTTAAAATCCTTGAAACCTCAACTTATCTGTCAGTAGCATGTCTCAGTTTAAAAACTGGTCGTTCTTGGAGCATGGTCTTAAGTATGGAATGTATGTTGGAAGACTTAAACACCTTATGCAGGTGATAGCGGGATATTACTACAAATGTAATTTAAAATCATTTCTACACACAGTGCAAGTAAAATTAGTGAAAAATATAAACAGTAGTAATGATCATTGTTGGTTTTATCACAGGGGCTTGTCACGAAATCTTCTTTAAATATAGTTACCCCTACTATAAAATATTTTTATGGTAGGGGTAAGGGGACGACCATTTGATTCTGAGGTGGGGGCCTGGCAGATTTTGGAAATAAATAATCTGTCCCTGAAAATGTTGAAAATAAATAATCTGTCCTCCACTACAGAGAAAATAAATAATCTGACCTTGACTTCTGATATTTAAATATTGTAAAAATACCTTTTTTATTTACATGTAATTTAATCTCAAAAGTCTTCAATTCAAAATTTTTTTTGGCTTGCTTCGCTCGCCATTTTAGAACCATATAATATTTAAAATCAGATTACCAGACTGGATACTTTATCAACATGACAATGTGCACTTAGTAGGTGTGATGAATAACTTTAAATACAAACCAATTCTTATACACCACAAAAGATAAATTTTCTTGTCGAATAATTATACTTTCCAGATTAATTAATACAAAATATACACTGGTGGATTTATGGGGCGTACATGTGTACGACCCCAGGCCCTCCCTTAAAATTTCAAAGTATGATACGAATAATAATAATAATGCCATACTTTGGGACAATACCAATATTTTAGTGCCTAGTTTTACTCTTAAAATACACAAAAACCCAAGAGCTTCAGGGGGCTTCGCCCCCTGGGCCCTTTTCATTCAAAGTACATGTATGATATGACTTAATAACGTCATACTTTGGTACATATATAACCAATTCCTACAAAAGTTTTACTCTTATGCATATTGAAAAACCCAAGAGCTTTATAGTTGATTTTGCTCCCTGAACTTACTTCATTCAAAGTACGGTATGACCAGTATTAATTATGTCATACTTTGGTTCATAATAACCAATACCACTACAAAATGCCTGGTTTTACTCTTAAAATACACGAAACCCCAAGAGCTTCGGGGGTGGGGGTGGGGGGTGTACTCCCTTGGCCTCCACCAGGGCTTCGCCCAGGACCCACTGGGGCCCTTACGGCGGCCCCAGACCTCTTGCCTAAACAAAGTTATACCTGTCCCCTCCCCAAATCCTGTATCCGAATATGGTATATAAATGATTAGTCTTTAGAATCAATTGATCAAGGTACTGTAAGACATAGAAGAAAATAAATAATCTGTCCTTGATAATCTTGAAAATAAATAATCTGTCCTCGACAGGCATGAAAATAAATAATCCGTCTCAAAAAAATTTGCCAGCCCCCCCCCCCTTCAGGATCAAATGGTCGTCCCCTAACTATATTTGATTAAGTTTGATTAAATAAATCTGAAAAATATATTATCAATTTTTTTTCAAGGGGCGGGGAGGGGGGGGGGGGGGATTTGCAAATCATTACATGAATTTGTTCAGGGACCTACATACTATTAGTACATGTATATTGGTTTATGATTAGTTTTGAAGATTTTTTGCTATTTATTTATTTATTTTTTTTTTTTTTGCTCTTTTAAAGATGAGAATGATCATAATGATATTTTTATGGTCATAACAATATAATTTAAATGAATCCATAATGAAAATAGACTAGAATAAAATAAAATACCCCCCCTCCCCCCGCCCGCTTTTAATTTTGGTTCAGTCTGAATTTAGGCAAACCTTTATTCAAACGTAGAAGAGATTAAGAATTTTTCACCAATTATACAAATATACGAAAAAAAATCTTTATTTAATTTTTCTCAAAAATTCATTTTATTTATTTTATCAAAGACAAAATGGATAAAACCTACACCATAATTTGAAATACAGTAAATATGAGTTGTATAACATAATTGTGTAACCATTAGTGGAAAGTGCCCTTCGGGTAACAGGTGCCACAGAAATGGCAACAGTGGCGAACCGTGTGGCACGTCAAGCCTTTTTAAAGGCTAAAACTGTGCAAAATTCAACTCAGGTAATATATTTATGAGAGGCAGACATCGTATTGATTGTAAACATGCATATTTTAATCGATTATTTACGTCGGATGTTGCTATTTATTGTAGTGGCAGTGCTGAATTTCAAGGACAAACTCCTTTTATTTTTCTTTACAGTTGAATTACATAACATTTATTTGTTATGGTTTTGTAAGATGTATTTAAAGAAATAATTTTGTCTGAAAACTAAATTATTCAAGATTTTTAGAAATCTTTCCCATCCCCTAATGGCAAGTAACTGTAAATGTGTATGGGAGAAAATCCTTTAGAGGAAATTCGAAATAAATCTCTTATTCTTCTAGATAGCCATGAGTAAATGACACGAATTTTTTGTTTGTAGTGTTTTGTATTTCATTGAAATTGCAATGAGGGGACAGTTTATATTTCTGCTTTAAAGTACTTATGTGGTGTTGTGAAAACACTGAAATGAGGTCTCCTTGTACATTGCAGAACAGTAGCATAACAGTTTTTTCTATTCTTTGATCATGATGCTACAGATCCTCATTTCTGTATTGTAAATATCGGCCTGCCTAATTGAAGACCTACAGGTAATTGAAGACCTACAGAAGACCTACGGAAGACCTACAAAAATGGGGGAAATATACAGCAAAACTGATATTTTATTCTGATTTAGCATGTCCTAAATATGTAAAATACACAAAAAAATTTTATAAAAAGAAGTTTTAAAGTGTATTCTTTAAGCTCGGTAAGGGGAACTATTTCTTCTCTTAGACGACCTACGGCAAGAACGATAACTCTGGATGACTTGTCTTGTAAACAACAACACGCTCATTTATATTGTGAAGTTTATAGGAAGAATATGTATATAACAAAATAAAAAAAAATTGCAAATGATTTTGTTGAGTTTTTTAATTATGAATTATGATAAAGAAATCAGCTGATCTCCATGATGAATTTTGATGAAGTTAAAAATATAAATAATTATCATGATTATTTCATTTATCAAATTAATATTCTACTTGAAATCTATAGTTAATATTTAATAAATATTGTAATTCTTTTAATATGTCTTATGGGATAAATATTAAATATTCAAGTTCAAATTATGGATATGTATGCTGTGGATTTGTCTCAATTAACCAATATTACTCTGTACTAAGGGCTTCGATCTTCACTAATTTGTTGTATATACAGTCACCCTGAGGATAATTAATATTCTACTTGAAATCTATAGTTAATATTTAATAAATATTGTAATTCTTTTAATATGTCTTATGGGATAAATATTAAATATTCAAGTTCAAATTATGGATATGTATGCTGTGGATTTGTCTCAATTAACCAATATTACTCTGTACTAAGGGCTTCGATCTTCACTAATTTGTTGTATATACAGTCACCCTGAGGATATATCCGTGTTTTGAATGCAATTATCAACACACCCCACTTGCTCTGATGAATGTTAATTTGCAGTCAACAGAGAAAAGATATAAAAAAAAAATTATTCTATATCTTAAAAATGCTAGCAAGAATAAACAAATAAAATTATTGTGCATTTATTCAGAATATAACTTAATAAAATGAATTACGTTTTGATTTATTTTTTTTAATATTCAAAATGGTCATCTTTTTTCAATATAACACATTTATATGACATTCACGAGGAATATTTAATAACTTAATTAAATGTATATTTCCAGATAACATGCTGTAAGCCAAGAAATAGGCACTATAATATGAAACATAAGGTTTTATTTCTTTTACATTTTGAGCTAAAATATACATGTACATTATATCAATCTTGAAGATACCAGGTATATCATTCAATAATTAAATTAAAAGAAAATACACACTTTTAAAAATTGAATCAAATAATAAACATGCATGTTATCACACAAATGCATGCATATTTTTAAAAAAAAATATGATGCTTCGACTCAGGGGAAATAAGATTTTGAAAGTGATTATGTCTGTATTCTTCTTGAAAAATTACTTCAAATTCTTTTAACTGCAATTTTAAAAATTTCATTCTCTACATAAATGCAAATCTTATAAACACATATAAAATACTAAATATAACGTATATACAAGTGTATGTATTTATAATGATTTTATGATTGACATATGATGGTATTATAATTTATGTACAGTGCATGGTTACAATTTTAATGATTTTAATAACTAATTATTTTTTTTAACAAAATAGAATTGTATCTGATGAATATTGCATTTTATTTTTTTTTATCTTTGATTTATGTATATAAAGTATCTCAAATGATTTTTTTTCGTCCTTTAATATTATTTTTTAATTACATTTTTCTGATAATCACATTTTCTTGATATGTTTTGGTGAACAGCTGATTTGTTATTTAGGCGAGTTATCGTTCTTGCTGTAGGTCTTCTGAGAGAAGAAATAGTTCCCCTTACCG